GTTTATCACAGTGAGGAAAGGACATAGCCCAGACCAGTTCAGCCCGACTGCTGCCATCTCCTTCGCAGCTGCCGAATCAGCAGTGAAGGACAACGATGTCAGCAACAGCAGCAGCAGCAGGAGCAGGAACAAAGGCTGACCTACGCCGGCAGCGTCCATCCCATTCCATTTATAAACCACCAAAACGAGACGATGACGCCGACGACGAGCATTGACCAGGATGTGAGAGACCAGGACTGTGCAGAGGCTGGGAGTGCAAGAAAATGCCACAAAACTGTTTGGTTTCGGCTGCTTCGTCCTGCGCATCCGTTTCTTGCATTCCCCAGGACCACCCTAAACAGGAACAAGAAAAACAACGGACCAAGTCTTGACAGCTGACATCGTGGAGCAGAGAGAAAAGCCAGGGGGGCGGACAGTGGACAGCGGAAGGAGCAGCCGAAAAATATTCAGTGCCCATTGTTGGTCCTGAATGCTGAGGATTCTGCATGGGACAGTTGAAAAGTAAAAGTTCGTCATTCAATCTATGCGTGTGCTTGAATTCAGCCACGCCTCTGTGACAACTTTTGCCAGAGATGTTGAGTTTACATCTCAAAATGAATTCTCTTAAATTTTCTCTATTTCTATTTCCATTTGCAAGAAAGATATGGAAATGTTTAAGGATGAAGTCGCATTCAAGACCTTTTAAAATCCAATGTATCCAATGCCATTACATTGTCACTCGCTGGCATTTTGATTATACTTTTAAAACAATCTCTCAGTTGGCTTCACCTGACCCGCATTACTATAAATATGCATTCGTTTCAAGGATAGCCCTCAAGGACCGTGCTGCTGTCCTGACCTATTCCAAAGCCCTGGCAACGGGATCCGAAGCCAGCAAAGCGTGAAATTTCAATTTAACCCATTAATAAACCCAGCTGAAAATTTCCAGCGAATGCAATCAGAAGCAGCAAGAGAAAGACACAAAAATAGACAATAGTCAAAGGCGGGAGACCCTGTCCCCCAAACCCCAAACTATTCAGATCCTCGTTTACATCCACCTTCCCATTCCGAAATCCATACCCAAGCACTTCTCCAGCCAGCTCTTTTGGTTAGTCATCTCTTGGAGCGGCAGCGGCCACAAAACAACTTTGGACTACATTTCACAAAAGCCATACCACACACACACAGGGAGACAGAGCCACGCCCACAATTTAGACAATTTCACACAACAGAAAGGGCTTGAAGGGGGGTGTAGAGGGAGGAGGGCAACACTTCCGTTTCCGCTAGCTTGCACTGATTGTTTTATATCCTGTCAGAGGACACGCCGTTGCCGAAATTCACAAACTTGTTTTGCGCTTTCTTGGCGACTTTACTAAGGAGCGAGCCAGTGCACTCAGAGAAAATTGGATATAACAAAGGATTAGGTCACTTTAAAAGGATTAATATTGCAATATTTTACTACTCCTAATTCAAGTTTAATTGAACAGATTAAAGAAGTCAATTGTACCCTAAAAAGTATTGATTTCTTTTGGAAACTCTTACAGTTTCTTCACTATTCAATATATTGGAATATTATTCAATTTAAAATCTTAGTTTATATTTTCCGAGTGTAAAACAAGTCTAGCAGCTAGATTGTAAGTTGGCGAATCGGTGGGATTCGAGTTCCTTGACTGTCGTTGCATTGCTGCGGCATTTGAATGCGGTCCTCGTCCAGTGAGAGCCCAGCATCCTTGCATATTTAATCAAAGTGAATTACAAATGCCACCAGACAATGACAGTGGCAACTTGGCAAATGACGACGGAGTCGACGCCTCTAACGCCCCGTCCTTATCAATTTGAAAGTGTTATATATAACGCCAGGACCATCGCCAGGATAATGTTTCATTGCTGGCTGAACGCGGTCCGAGGCATTGTAGCCTGTAATTTGCGTTGGCAAGATCAAAAAGCATTCAGTTAATAATAAGACAAGCAGTCCATTATTTAGCCATTGATGGAACACTTGGCGAGTCCTTCCTAAGACACCCCCTCCCTGCTTCTTTTCCCCACCTAACAAAAGTTAATTTATTTCTTTTTTTCACAGCTCCTTCCCAAAGGGCCCCGAAATAAAAAGAATGTATTAATGCGAACGACGGAAAGTTAACTTTATGGTCTGCTCCGTTTTCTTTTTCCCCACGAACAGGAAAAGTAAGTTTCGCCTTCCCTTACCTTGCTCTTAAGGGCTTCCCAGCCGCGCTTAACCCAATCTTAACCCCGGTGGGCGACAGTTTAATAATTACTCATTTTGCTTTTTTACCAAATTACTTTGTGAAAAATAATGGCAAAGTTGAATGCAAAACGGTTTCCATTACTCTTATTGTCGTGGCTTGTACTTCATTTACCCTTTTCTTTTTAGGGCTTGATAAGATTTCCAATTGTTTTTTGGGGTTTCCATTTTTTTTTTTTACAATTTTGTATTTAATTAAAAAGGTCTCGACCTTTTAAGGAGTTTCTAGGAATTCCAAACGCCTTCGCGGACTTTAAGAATATTCCTTGGAATATTATTCAATTTTAAATGTATTTAATTGATGGTCATTCGAATGAATTGCTTTGCTTTGACCAAAAAAAATCAAAGTCAAGCGCGTGGCAAAAATAAACTAAATTTTTCCACAACAAACAAAAAAAAAAAACAAAATTCAACAGAAGAAATGGAAACAATTTGTTCCCCTGCCGGCTCTTTCTCAAATATCTAACATCTCCCAAAAGGCACGCATAATTTTTGACGCATAGAAATTTGTCTGCATTTCAAATTCAAAATAGTTTTGGGCCCACAATTCCCTTTGGGTGCAATAAGCTTGCCAGATAAAAAAAGGAGAAGAGGAGCCCTGAGAAATGAAACTTTCTAGCCGTACCCGAGGAAGAATATTTTTTTATGCACTGCGGTGGGTTCGGTATCGTTTTATGGACTTTGATTTTATGACTACTGCATATTTGCCATGCGAAACCCGAGTGAGCACTTTTCCCCCAGTTTCCCCTTTTTTTTCCAGGGCTGTCAGCTGCTGCGGCACTTTCAATTAACCCTTTTGACATTGAATTCACTTGATACCGAAGGAGCTGCTCCTCACTGGCTTAAATCGAGATTAGAATGCTGGAAATTTAAGACCACACCCTTAGCCTTAGCTCCACTGTATAATTTAATAAGCTCCTTCAGAGCTTGACTTCTCTTTCCTGGCCCAGGGACCGACCGGCTTAAGCCTATAATTTACAATGTTTCGGCTCGTCTTGACTTCACATCTCTAACCCTTTTCCAGGGAAGGGCAGAAAATTAACATTTCTTTGCCGTCGCTTACCATTTTGGGCCAGCATTTTTTTTTTTTTAACTGGAAATTAAAGTGCGCGCAAGTGTAATTAAGTAGCTGCTCAAGTTATATGGGCAATCCCTTTCTTGGCCATTTCTCACCAGGCCACTCGACTGTAAATGGGTTAAACTCTTGGGATTTATGACAATTTTTTAATTAGTTGACGCTGCCTTCGGGACCGGCTTATTAATCAAAATCGTTTGCGCGTAAATAAACTTTTTCAACACACTGATTGCTTATGGAATTTGAGCAAGCTGTGCTATATGCATATGGAAATTTCCGCTCTCTCTCTCAACTCTCAGGTATTTTGTTTGAAACTTCTGGCTAAAAGTTGGAGCATTTTATTTTCATTTCAGTTGTTCAAAGTTTTATAGAATTTGCTAGCATACAAATTCTTTGCCATTGATTGGAAATTTACAATAAAATAAAATGAAAAAAAAAAAAATAAAAAATGGGGAGAGGCGACGAAGTTGCCAACAATCAAACATAATTGTTCCCAAGTTACATAATGAAATTTTCATGTAGGTAAGGTAAAGTTTAAAAAGTTCTTAGATTGTATGGCATAAGATAAGATTTTTTATTAAGTATTAAATTTATATCACTGAGTTTTAAGTATTATTGATGTTTCAGTTAAATAGGTTGCCAAGAACGAACTCTGCTGTTTATAAAAATAAACAAAAGCTAAGAGGTGATTTAGATTGTGCACTCGCAGCCTTCAAAATATTTGATTATAATAAAGTAATTAAACGTAAATCACAGAATGTAAACAATTTTCTGATAAATTTCAAAGTCGTCTGATAAACAAATGGCTTAGGCAAATAATTTAAAATACTTGCAGTTTATTCATATCTGATTACACAAGCTAAACAAACTAATAAGAAAATTAAATTTATATTTTTATTGTAGTTTTTTTAATATACCGAAAACACTTTCTGAATAACAGAAAAAAAAACAAAATCTAGACCGGAATAAGTGCTAATTTATATAAAGATACGTAGGAAAAACTCTAATAAGAAAAGCTCTGCTTCATATCTAAAGCCCAGAGTTGCATCTGATTCTTATCGATAAGTTAACAGCTAGCAAGCAGTTCAAGCAGTTCCCTGTTAAATGCGCGCGCAGCTTTAATTAAAATGTTTAACTTGATTGCACTTTAGTCTGAGAATAGTCACTGAGTTAATTACACATTTTTTTGGAGCGTTATTGCATGAACTTTAACCCCCATCTACTTGTGGGTTTTTAGCATGTCTTAACCCGCACTCTGATTTAAAATCAGACTTTATAACAAGATGAGAGACTACACACAGAGTATATCATTAAAAAGCAATTACACTCGAATCACGAAACAGCTGTTTGCAATGAGTAGTCAGTCAGAGACGTCGCTCTCCGCTTATCAGTGGGTATTTTTACTATATGTTCGATGCTCTCCCCGCGCTCCACAGCTCCGTATGTTTCGGCACTATAGCTCACAATAAGCGATGAGTCGAGCGTGTGATTATGATGGAAAACTGAATTGGGTTGTACTCGCAGTCGAACTGATAGTTCCGATTGTACGATTCTCGGTGCCTCCAATGCCTCGCTTCAGTTGCTCCCTGTCCATCGCCGCCGGCGGAAGTATTTGCGATCACAATTGTATCGTAATTGTGCACTTTGATTAAGTGAATATAGTGTATAATCCAGCGGCAAGTCATGGAGGTCCGAGTAGGCGTGGCCGATCTGCTCAAAATGGGCACCAAGTAGGTCACCAGGATGTCATTTACAATATAATCATTCTGGGTTAAAATTTTTCCCCTTGTCCACTTAATCAAGGAATTCTACTAAGTCACTCTCCAATTTTAATCAATTTAATGAACCACATAAAACACGTACAGATCGATAAGGTTTATGGTGGCTTGAAATAAGCACAAATAGTTTGACTGTTTGACTCCTAGATTAGGTTCTAGTTCAAGTGCAGTGTTTTTATATTAAAAAAATTGCTTAATCACGGAATGCGATTAAAGAATTTATTTTTAGGTAATTAATAAGATGCTTAATCTTTTAAAATTTTACCAAAATGATTTTCTGCATGTTTAAACGGCTTTCTTCTAAATGATTTGTTAAACAAATGTTTGTTTTGATTGATAAGCTTGACCAACTATGTCTCAAAAGAATAACTGTGTAAAATAAAAGCTTCACTCTAAGTCCATTGATTAATGTTAAGATAAGAAAAGCTAAATAACATATAACATTTCAAACAAGAAAATTAGTAAAATTTACTAAAGAAAGAGAGCATATTCTTCTATTTAAAATAATAAAGTTATGGATCAGATAAATTCAGAACAATACGCTTTTGGTTTTTAATTAAGTAATTCAAATTAATCTTCTTTCTTTGTCCCCAGGCTCATTGGCCACAAGATCGTCCAGTATCGCCTGGCATCCAAGCAGACCAAGGTGATTAGCACTCGGGATGGCCAGGTGCGAGGACTCCGTCGCAGGACCCTCTACGATGAAGAATTCTATTACGCCTTCGAGGGAATCCCCTTTGCCCAGCCGCCGGTCGGTGAGCTGCGATTTCGGGCCCCCCAACCACCACGGCCTTGGGTCGGAGTAAGGGATTGCACATACCCAAGGTCAAAGCCCATACAGAAGCACTTTGTCCTCAGCATTGTCGAGGGTAACGAGGATTGCCTGTACCTAAATGTGTACAGTAAACAACTTAAATCGGACAAGCCGCTGCCTGTAATTGTGTGGATATATGGTGGTGGATTTCAGTTCGGAGGAGCTGGACGAGATTTCTATAGTCCGGACTACTTTATGAAACAAGATGTAGTGTTGGTCATGTTCAATTATAGAGTGGGAGCAATGGGTGAGTTTCCGATAAAATATATACCATTTAAATAATTATAAAATTAAAAAAGTCTAGCATATATATAGATAGTGATTGATATTACTTAATCTATATGTACTTTCAAAGTCAAAGAGCACATATTATGTTGAGATAATACACGATTTTTGCAAGGGTTTAAAGTTCTATCCTAGCTGTGAGATTAGTATTTCTACTTTAATTCTATTTTCATTTATTTTATTTTCATTTTCTACAAAGGGATCACAGGGGTCATACTTTCCGGGTGAACAATAAAAGAATACAATAACAACAAGATTCATTTCAGGTAACAACCATAAGTGTCATAACTTATTACTCACACATGTAGCTGTTGCAACAATTAATTTTCTTGACAGAAACACTTTATTCATACATAAAAGCATTCATTTATTCGAAGTCAGTTAGTAAAATGTAATTTTTAATTGGGTCAGAAACAGAATATTATATAAAAACTGCATCTTGCTTAGTAATTGTCTGCCACCTTCACCGGTTAACAAAGTCAATTTCAATTTAAATCGGAAATAATTCACAGGCTGTTAAGATTAATTTTTCACTTTCCAGTCGTAAAAGCATTTGCACTACTATTAATGTCGTAATATCTGTCATTATTGCCTAAGGAGAGAACAAAAGTAACCCGTAATTACACAAGTCAACAAAAAACACTGAAATCAAATTGATAGCTAAACATTGTTCGCATATGAAAGAAAAAAATTAAACAGTTTTAAAATATAGGAAAGTATGTACATAAAATTTTATTGCACTTTCCAAAAGTTTTAGTTAATATTGCTTGTATATTTTAAACAATTTTTAAATCCCACTACATTTTTTATTAATATTATAAAAAAACAGATTCACGCATATTTTTGTAGTCCACTGTTTTAAATACGAGAAAATGCATTTGACTTAATATTGGTATATGCTTATATTAGATCTTTCTATAACATATAATTAAATTGAAATAATTGAATTCACGCACGTAACTGGTTCTCGAGTTTATTGAAATGAAACGGCTATTTAATAACTACTAAATTAGTTCAATAAATTGCTTTTGGAAGCAGAAATTCAAACCGACATACAATTTAAAATAATTATGAAATTATTGAGTAACGATTCTTATTCCTTTTTTTTAGGTTTCCTAAGCCTTACGGATCGCGACCTGGATGTGCCGGGCAATGCTGGCCTCAAGGATCAGGTGATGGCTCTTCGATGGGTCAGCCAGAACATTGCTCAATTCAACGGGGATCCCCAGAATGTGACCCTGATGGGTGAGAGTGCTGGAGCTGCATCCGTCAACGCAATGATGACCACAGAACAGACGCGGGGTCTCTTCCACAAGGCCATCATGCAATCGGGCTCAATGTTTTGCGAGTGGGCCAATGAGCCTAGGGGGAGGTGGGCCTACCGCCTAGCCTGCCTACTTGGTTACTCCGGAACTGAAAATGAAAAGGAGGTGTTCCGATTCCTTCAGAAAGCACCTGCCTCTGAAATAGCCGCCCAGGGAATCCATTTGATTTCGAAGGAGGAGCAACGGGAATACGTACTATTTCCCTTTACGCCCGTTGTGGAACCCTATATAACCAGGGACTGTGTCCTGCCTCGTTCTCATAGGGAAATGGTGCCAGCAGCCTGGGGTAACGACCTGCCCCTGATTGTGGGTGGCAATTCATTTGAGGGCCTCTTCTCCTACCAAAGCACCCTGTACGATGAAGAACATATGTTGAGCGCCTTTGAGGCCCTCATTCCGAGTGAAATAAGAGAGAAACGATCTCCGGCCCAGCTTAAGGATCTGCTGCGTCAGTTCAAGGTGGATAATTTCGAGGATGCCACCAGAGGCCGAATGGAGTTCAATGAGTGTCTGCAGATACTATCCATCAAGCACTTTTGGCATGGAATTCATAGAACGATTTTAGCCCGCCAGCAGTACGCTTCCACAACGCCCACATTCCTTTACCGATTCGATGTGGACTCCCCTCACCACAATCACTTCCGTCAGGTGATGTGCGGAAGGCATGTCCGTGGAGTTAGCCATGCGGACGATGTCTCCTACTTCTTTTATAACATACTGTCCACCAAACTGGAGAAGTCCACCCTGGAATACCAAACCATCGAACGGATGGTGGGAATGTGGGTGGCATTCGCCCGGAATGATAATCCGAACTGCCCACAGATCGCTCCGGCCTCGTGGGATGCTCTGGACGACACAGGACCTCATATGTGCCTAAATATTGGAAAGCAGCTGGAGTTCATGGAGCTGCCAGAATCCAAGCAGAATCGATTTTGGGATAAACTTTACGAAAAGCACGATTTATACTAGGGAAAATGTGCATATTTAATGTATAAATTGTAAGTGGATTTCGTTATTGCTGTTATAAGAAAATATTTGTTTAAAATAATTCATTGTAAAAACTATTTCACTTTAAATTAAAATTTGGTGTTGAGAGAATTTATTGTAATTATATGTTTAAATCTCGTTGAAAAGATGGTGTTAAATGCCTTAATTTGTCAAAGTAGAAGTGAAAAAAAATTGTATATCTAAAATTATTCTTTTTCTTTCTTTAGACCTGTTTTGGGAGATAGAATGGAGGCCCGAGTCGGTTGGGGTAAATGAGGATACATTGATGCAGAGACGGAACGACTTTTCTTTTCATTCAAACAATTATTTAATGATTTCAAAGTTCAGAAATGTATATATTTCTTCTCAAATATATCGGTTTGAATTAAAAAGCTAAAAAAGAGCCTCTTTGGGATACAAAGAGTCCCACAATGCCATCGTATCGGCTTCCGGCAGTTCCCTCATATCCAAATCTTTGCTGATACTGAAACACTTCTCCACACCACTTCCAATAGGCTGGAGAGGCTCCCACTTGGCATTTCCTAATTCGGGACAATTGGGATTTCCAGTCGCGGCAAACGATGTCCACATTCCAATCATTCGCTCTATGGTCTTGTACTCATCCGAAGATTTATCCAGGTGTGTAGACAATGCCGTATAAAAGAGGTAAGAGAGCTCGTCGGCATGACACACTCCACGAATATTTTCCCCGCACATTAGCCAGCGGAATTGATGAAAGTGCGGTGAATCGACGTTGAATCGATAAAGATATGTGGGCGTTTTCGGGGCGTAGGTCCTTCGAGCCATAACCAGGCGATGCATATCATGCCATATCTGGCGATGGGAGCAGATATTTAGTCCCTCAAACAAACTAATTTCTTTCTGCTCCTCATTGCCAAAGTAGTGCTTTTTAATGCGACGCACAAGTATATCTCGTTCTTCCTGGGTGCAGGCTTCAGTTACTTCACGCGGCAGGATGTTATGGAAGTTCCGGAGAAACCAGGGATCATCCCTCGTCATCCGGTAGCAAAAAAGCCCTTCAAATGAGTTGCCTCCCATTAAAACGGGAATATCGTTACCCCATGCTTTTGGTAGCTGATCTATATGTCTCCTGAGTATCACACTTTGGTCTGTCTCATAAGGCTCCACCACTGGACCGAAGGCATATAGAAGAAAACTTCGTACCTCGTCCTGAGTAACCAGGTTCTGATCACAGGAAGCTATTTCAAAGGATGAAAATTGATTAAGAAACCGGAAAACATCAACATCCTGCTCGCCGCCCCTGTAGCCCATGTTCTGAGCCAATCGGAGGCCCCAGTTGGACTCAGGGTTAGTCACCCATTCACTTAAAGCACATCCCGATTGCAGGATTGCCTTGTGGAATAGACCCCGCGTCTGTTCCGAGGTCATCAGCAAGTCGACGCAGGATGCTCCAGCGCTTCCGCCCGCGATAGTGATATTGTTAGGATCTCCATTGAAGTGGGCAATGTTCTGACTGATCCATCGGAGAGCTTGCACTTGATCCTTAAGTCCTGCATTTCCTGGAATACCCAATTCTGGATCCTTAAAACTAAGGAAGCCTGACATAGAATAAATATAGAATGCGATGGAATAAGTCTTAATATACAACTCACCTAAAGCTCCTAGTCTGTAGTTGAAAGTTACGAATACGACTGGCTTTTTCATTAAGTAATCTGGACTGTAGAGGTCACGGGAGGCCTCTCCCTTCTGGAATCCCCCGCCATATATCCACACGATCACAGGAAGCTTCTTTTCCGAAACCAAAGTTTTTACGTATATATTTAGGTGTAGACAATCCTCACTGCCCTCCACAAAACCCAGAGTCATGTTCCTTTGAAGAGGCTTGGGTTTGTAGTAGGTACACTTGAGGACTCCCTGCCAAGGTTCCGGTGGCTGTGGAGCCTTGAATCGGAGCTCACCCACCGGGGGTTTAGCATAGGGAATACCCTCAAAGGCGAAGTAGAGCTCTTTATCGTACACCGTCTTTCTTTGGAGACCACATACCTTTCCGTAGTTGGTATCCAACACCACAGTGTGACCTGTGGACAGGCGGTACTGCCGGATCTTGTGGTTACCCCACCTGGACATGAGATTATCAATTTAAGAAGTTTATTTTGGCCATGTACTTTTGGACTCCAAGTCAACGTTTTAACTTACATTGCGACAATTTTGAGAAACTTGGGCCATTCCATTATTAAGTCCATAATTAAAAATTAGTTTTTACAACCTGTTTCTGTAGGTTTCCAATTAAAAGTAAGAGCTTGCTCTTCCCAGGTGCGACAGTAAGCTTTGTTGCCGTAGAACTGATCTCAGATGTGTGTCTACAGCAATTTAAATTGAGAAAACTCGAAGCTTATATAAAGTTACATATTTTGGAGTTTGTCGGAACACCATAATATATTCGTCAACAAAAATAAATTTAGTCCGTTAATAAACCGCAGACACTTTAGGTCACTGCCCTTCACACTTCCAAGAATCTTGGCTGTTAACGAATTGCTAACATCTGGTCCAAAAACTCTTTTCGAAAATTTCAATATTTATAAACTCTTTTAAAATATAGAATAACAGACGATAGTACAGTATACTGGTATTAGTAATGATGTGATTCGATTTTTTGGCATGTTTTTAGCCAAGTCAACTTTAAGTTAATCTTCTCGGTGACCTGACATTTTATTTACCTATGAAAAGAGGTATATTTAAGTGGCATTTAACCACATACATATGATATATATACACAGCTCTTATGAAAACATACTAATATTACCTTTTAGTTCAAGCATTAACTTGAACTTTGTCTTTTAAATATATATTCACTATGATGAAATAGTTTAGAATAACATCAAGGAATTATTAGAAAAGATCATCTTTGGAATACAAAGAGTCCCACAATGCCATCGTATTGGCCTCCGGCAGTTCCCTCATTTCCAGTTCTTTGCTGATATTGAAGCACTTCTCCACACCGCTTTCCATTGGCTGAAGAGGCTCCCACTTGGCATTTCCTAATTCGGGACAATTGGGATTTCCAGTTGCGGCAAACGATGTCCACATTCCAATCATTCGCTCTATGGTCTTGTACTCATCCGAAGATTTATCCAGGTGTGTAGACAATGCCGTATAAAAGAGGTAAGAAAGCTCGTCGGCATGACACACACCACGAGTATCATTCCCGCAGACTAACCACCGAAATTGATTATAGTGCGGGGAGTCAAAATCGAAGCGATAAAGATATGTGGGAGTTTCCGTGGCATAGGTTCTTCGAGCCATAACCAGGCGATGCATACCATGATATATATGACGATGGGAGCAGATATTCTGGGCCTCAAAAAATGTCATTGTTTGCTGCTCCTCATTGTCGAAGTGTGCTTTTTGATGCGACGCAAAAGTAGATCTCGTTCTTCCGGAGTACAGGCTTCACTCAGTTCACACGGTAGGATAGTATGCAAGTTCCTTAGAAACCAGGGATCGTCTCTAACTTTCTGGTAGAATACCAATCCTTCCAAGGAGGTGACACCCATAATTACAGGTATGTTGTTGCTCCAGGTATCCGGTAACTGATCCTTATATCTCCTAGACACTACACAGTCCTCGGTCTCATAAGGCTCGACCACAGGTCCGAATGAATACGATACCAATTTCCGGGCTTCTTCTAGGGTAATAAGATCTTGGTCGTTGGAAGCTATCTGATGCGAGGAAATTCCGCAAAGAAAATCGAAAATCTCTGCTTCCTTCTCGCCGCCTTTGTAACCCAATTTTTTGGCTAGACGAAAGGCCCACTTGGCATCCGGGTAATTAACCCATTCGTGTAGTGCACATCCCGATTGAAGGATTGCCTTATGGAACAGACCGCGTGTCTGTTTCGAGGTCATCAACATGTGGACGCAGGATGCTCCAGCGCTTACTCCCGCAATTGTGATGTTGTTAGGATCTCCATTGAAGTGGGCAATGTTCTGCCTGATCCATCGGAGAGCCAGCACTTGATCCTTAAGTCCTGCATTTCCTGGAATACCCAACTCAGGATCCTTAAAGCTAAGGAAGCCTTAAATAGAAATCATCAATAAATAATCAGTAATCTCAACGAAACTTGGAACCACACTACTATACAAATACGGAAACTGACCCAATGCTCCCACTCTGTGGTTGAAGGTAATGAACACCACCGGCTTCTTCATAAAGTAATCAGGAGCGTACACATCGCGAGAGGCCTCTCCCTTCTGGAATCCCCCGCCATATATCCACACGATAACGGGTAGCTTCTTATCCGATATCAATGTTTTCACATATATATTTAGGTTCAGGCAATCCTCATTGCCCTCCAAATAGCCTAGCATCATGTTCCTTTGCAAGGGCTTGGATCCGTAAGTGGTGCAATTGAGGACTCCCTGCCAAGGCTCCGGAGGCTGTGGAGCCTTGAACCGGAGCTCACCCACCGGGGGTTTAGCATAGGGTATTCCTCAAATGCAAAGTACAGCTCCTCATCGTATGTCGTCTTTCTTTGGAGTCCACATACTTGTCCGTAGTTGGTATCCAACACCACAGTGTGTGATGTGGAGAGGCAGTACTGCCGAAATTTATGGTACATCAACCTGTGAAGCGTATATTTCGAGAAAAAGTACTTGCTGATCCCGGAAGTTCGATTTTTTTTATTTTTTACTCGCCTTGCAACAATTTTAAGAAACTTGGGCCATGGCATTCGATACTCCATATTAAAAATGTTATTTTAACTTTAATGGAGGGAATTTAATTGAGATGATAAATCCTTTTGTTCAATGGTGTTGAAGTGAGCGCTGTCGACGTGAAACTGATGGTAGATTTTGATCTACAGCTTTTTTAATAAAGAACACGCGATGTTAATATCTTTTAATGACTATTATCACATAATCGTTAACAAGAATAACTACCGTCATGTTAATAAACTTTACCAAGTTGAAATATTAAAAATATGTTGTTTATTATGTATATGTAAATATCAAAGGTGAATGCAAAATAAAACTTTTACAGTCTTTTCTACAATCTCACCACTCCCCTCAATGTATCTGCTATAAGTAGTTAGAACTTCTAAAGAATCGTACCCAGTTAAAACAGTAAATATATATATTATCAACATAAATTTATATTTGTAAAAAAAAGGGAAATTACACTGAGATCCGCAATAAAATTAAATCTTAGTAAAGATCTTCCTTTGAGTAGAAGGAGTCCCACACTGCCAGAGCTTTGGCCTCTGGAAGTTCTCTCATATCCAGCTCTTTGCTGATGTTAAAACACTGCTCCACGCCACTTTCCATTGGCTGAAGAGGCTCCCATTTGGCATTTCCCATTTCCCGACAATTGGGATTTCCAGTCGCGGCAAACGATGTCCACATTCCCACCATTCTTTCTATGGTCTGATATTCTTTCGAAGATTTATCCAGTTTGGAAGCGATTATATTGTAGAAGAGGTAAGACAACTCATCGGCATGGGAGACTCCACGAACACTATCACCGCAGACTAACCACCGGAATTGGTTAAAGTGCGGAGAATCAAAATCAAATCTATATAAATATGTTGGGGTATGAGAAGCGTAGGTTCTTCGAGCGAGGGCCAGGCGATGCATATCGTGCCAAATCTGGCGATGGGAGAATATATTTAGAGCCTCAAACAAATCCATCGATTCATGGAGCTCGTTGTTAAAGTAGTGCTTTTTTAAGCGCCGAACCAGTATATCCAGCTCCTTGTGGTTAGCGGTTTCCTTAATTTCCCTGGGCAATATATATTGAAAATTGTTCAGACACCAAGGATCACTCTTCGCCACTTGATAGGAGAACAGACCCTCAAAGGAGTTGCCACCCATGATTACGGGTATCTGGTTGCCCCAGGCCTCGGATAGTAGATCCTTTTGCCTCCTTGGCACTACACAATGATCAGTCTCGTAAGGTTCCACGACAGGTGCGAAAGAAAAGAGTAAGAAACTGCGCATCTCTTCAAGTGTAACTAAGTCCTGGTCAGCAGACGCCATTTTGCGAGCGGAAGCACTGCGTAGAAAACAGAGTACATCCGCTTCCTTTTCGCCACCCTTATAGCCCAAGCTCTGGGCCAACCGGAAGGCCCAATTGCGATCCGGACATTCAGCCCATTCATTAAGAGCACATCCCGATTGCAGGATGGCCTTGTGAAAGAGTCCACGAGTTTGTTCTGTGGTCATCATCACATGAACAGATGCCGCTCCTGCACTTTCACCCATCAGTGTGATGTTGTTGGGATCTCCATTGAAATGGGCAATATTCTGGCTGATCCAACGGAGAGCCAACACTTGATCCTTGAGCCCGGCATTTCCAGGAACGTCTAGGCTGGAATCCTTGAGGCTCAAAAAGCCTTAAAATAAGGAAAATTATTCAGAAATTAATAGATGCTAAAGCAAACAAAGCGATGTCGTCTTTTAAGCCGCGATAAGGTTACGTAAGTAATGTATATAAATAGCTACATTTATTACGTCTTAATTTTTTTCTTATCTGCTACCTATTGTTTACATTTCTCAGGTTTAGCAAGTGAAAAAAAAGTTATTTTAAATATATCACATTAAGCAAATACTAGGATAACATTTTAAGGAGTAGTTTAACAATGTAATTAGTAGTTGTACCGAAAACATTGAATTACATAAATAAATTAATACAATAGATTTGGTTATTGGCTTAAATTTTCATACAAATAAATTAACTAACTAAATGGCCGGTAATATTTAGAAACTTACCCAATGCTCCCAGTCTGTAGTTGATGGTCACAAACACCACAGACTGCTTCATGAAATAGTCCGGACTGTAAATGTCCCTCGAGGCTTCTCCCTTCTGGAATCCTCCGCCATATATCCACACAATCACGGGCAGTGGTTTCTCCGATTTCAGAGTCTTGGCATACACATTCAGGTGCAGGCAATCCTCACTTCCCTCCACAATGCCCAGGACCATGTTCCTTTGGAGGGGCTTGGATCGATACGTGGTGCAATTGAGGACTCCCTGCCAGGGTTCTGGGGGCTGTGGAGCCTTGAATCGGAGCTCACCCACCGGGGGCTTTGCATAGGGAATTCCCTCAAAGGCAAAGTACAGCTCCTCATCGTAGAGCGTCTTTCTTTGAAGTCCCTGTACAAGTCCATATTTGGTATCCAGAACCACTTTTTCACCTGTGGCAAGGCGGTATTGCTGGAACTTGTGGCCCACCATTCTGTGGATGAGTTCGGAGATTAGGTGAGCTTGGGTGGGGATGGGGGTTGCCGCGACAGACAGCCAGTGATAAGGACTGATAACCACCCAAAGGCAGTGGGTCGCGACAGGTTCGAAGTCGGCGATGATCGAAGTCCGACCTTGGCCCTGTACTTTTGGACCCCCATCGAGTTTGTTATTGTGCACTCACTTGGCGCCCATCTTGAGCAGCTTTGGCCATTCGACATTTACTTCCATAGTTTATTTAAATTTCAACTGGGACTATTTTTTTATTATTATTTTCTAATTAAAATTAGTTTTAATTTCCTTCTAGGCGTTGAGGCGATCGATGTTTAATGAGCGACTGATTGCTGGTCGGTGACTGCTCTACCTTAAATAAGGCAGCTCACGTGAATATACACAAATGCACCTGTTTATGACTTTTCCGGAGCACATACAAAAATTCCTTATCATGTATAGCAATGGTTAGCCACATAAGGCTTTGTTTAAAATATGCGTTTTGTAAATAATTTAAATGTTTATTAAATAGGTCCCAATATTAATTTTATTTATCTTTTTTAAAGTTAACCTGTATATTTCAAGGTACTCTTGATTTTACAGAAAGTCGTAAATGTTTAATAGCTATAACTTTTTATTACTTTTTAAGCAACATAAATATATTAATAAATACATAACTTAAGTTTATTAACTTTAAAACTGTAGTTTTAAAAAAAGCAAACTGTTTACATTGACCGTAATTGTAATTTTTGGTCAATGAATTAATCTTTATTAAAGAATTTATTCTCGATAAACAGAGGCATACCTTCATAAAACCTTAAAATACTTTTATATCTTTATCGATTTACAAACCAAGCAGCGTTATATTAATAAAATTTCACAAATAAAAATAAATGTCAAATTTCAACCAGAGATATGGTTTTCTTCACAGCCGAAATATAAAATTATAAAAGGTGTATAAAAGTGAACAATAAGCATGACATATTTTGAAATAAAAAAAATGGAAAATAAGCATGATAAGCATATTTTGTACTAAAAAAAAGCTTTATAGGCTATCGAAATTTATTTACACTTGTGTTCTTATAAATAAACTTATCCGTAAACTTAAGTACTAGAACAGAGCTTCCTTTGGATAGAAGGTGTCCCAGAGAGCCAGGGAATCGGCCTCAGGCAGTTCCAGCATCTCCAAGTCGTGGCTTATATTGAAGCACTGCTCCACACCGCTTTCCATTGGCTGGAGAGGCTCCCACTTTGCATCTCCTATTTCTTCACAGTTTGGATCTCCTTTCGCGGCAAATGATGTCCACATGCCCACCATTCGCTCAATGGTCTGATACTCCTTGGAGGATTTCTCCAGCTTCGACGAAATGACATTGTAAAAGAGGTAAGACAGGTCATCGCCATGGGAAACTCCCCGAACACGATTTCCGCAGACTAACCATCGAAATTGATTAAAGTGCGGAGAGTCAAAGTCAAAGCGATATAAATAGGTGGATTTGCTGGGCGCATAGGTCCTTCGAGCGAGAGCCAGGCGATGCATATCGTGCCATATCTGACGATGAGAGAATATATTCAACGCCTCAAACATATCCATTGTCTGCTGATCCCCATTGTTGAAGTAAACTTCTTTGAGGCGTCGAACAAGCAGATCCCGCTCCTCCTGGCTGCTGGCCTCACTCACTTCCCGTGGCAGGATGTTGTGAAAGTTTTTCATTACCCAAGGATCGCCTCTTAGAATTTGATAGGAGAACAAGCCCTCGAAGGAATTTCCACCCATGATTATGGGTATATCGTTTCCCCAGGCGCCGGCTAGGAGCTCCTTGTGTCTCCTAGGTACCACGCAGTGTTCACTTTCGTAGGGCTCCACGACTGGGCCAAAGGCGAAAAGCAGAAAGCTGCGTACCTCATCCTGCGTAATGATATCCTGATCACACGTCGCTATTTTCTGGGGAGAAACTCGGCTTAGAAAGCCCAGTACATCCGCATCCTTTTCATCTCCCTTGTAGCCTAGTTTTTTAGCCAACCGGAAGGCCCACTGCCTGTCAGGACTCTCAGCCCATTCACTTAGAGCACATCCCGATTGCAGGATGGCCTTGTGAAAGAGTCCACGAGTTTGTTCTGTGGTCATCATCACATGAACAGATGCCGCTCCTGCACTTTCACCCATCAGGGTTATGTTGTTGGCATCTCCATTGAAATGGGCAATATTCTGGCTGATCCAGCGAAGGGCCATCACTTGATCCTTGAGCCCGGCATTTCCAGGAACATCGAGTTTTGGATCTCGTAGACTAAGGAATCCTGTAATTATGATATTATTAGACTCAGTACTGGCAAGCGAATGTCCTGACGTTTCACTTGATGTTTTCCTTGTCAATTAATACTTTTTAACATAACGCTGAATGTTTAGTATCCCTTTAAAATTTTTTTCTTATGTATAAATAACAGTTGTAATCTTTTTTTTTTGTTAATTAATAGATTGCTCTTTACTGTCAATGCTGCGCACATATTCATATTTTCATTTATATATTTATCTGCGTTGTATATTTAGAAATACTTCCTTGTGATTCCTGATTATATGTACTAACTATACTAAAATTATAGTTGCACTTCTCTAATCGAACCTTATCTAGGCAAACCTCACTTTAGTATTTACTTATCACCTTAATCGTGTGTGCTTGTGGCAGGTAATGGTTGATAATAATTATTCTAATATGCATGTGTGAACCCGGAACCTTACCCAATGCTCCCAGTCTGTAGTTGATGGTCACAAACACCACAGACTGCTTCATGAAATAGTCCGGACTGTAGATGTCCCTCGAGGCTTCTCCCTTCTGGAATCCTCCGCCATATATCCACACAATCACGGGTAGGGGCTTCTCCGATTTCAGAGTCTTTGCATACACATTTAGGTGCAGGCAATCCTCACTTCCCTCCACAATTCCCAGGATCATGTTCCTTTGCAGAGGCTTAGATCGGTATGTGGTACAATTGAGGACTCCCTGCCAGGGTTCTGGGAGCTGTGGAGCCTTGAATCGGAGCTCACCCACTGGGGGCTTTGCATAGGGAATTCCCTCAAAGGCAAAGTACAGCTCCTCATCGTACAACGTTTTCCTTTGGAGTCCCCGTACCTGTCCGTAGTTGGTATCCAGCACCACCGTGTGACCTGTGGCGAGGCGGTATTGCTGGAACTTGTGGCCCACCATCCTGTGGGTGAGGTTGGAGATTGGTTGGGATTATCACACAGCGATAGGGAATGATTAGGAATGATAACCAGCGGTGGGTCGCACCACCCTGGCCGTGTACTTTTGGACCCCAGTGGGGTTTTTGGTTCTGGTGCACTCACTTGGCTCCCATCTTGAGCAGCTTCGGCCATCCCACTTGTACTTCCATAATTTTGTAGAATTTCTCTGTGCCGGTCTGTGTGCCTGACGATATTCGAACTTGATGTGGTGAAATTGAAAGGTATTTCTTTCCGGGATTATCGGACCGATCAAAGTTTGCCGAGCAACTGATCGAAATTGTTTGCGGAGTCCGTTTAAATCAGGAGCTACGCCGCCGACAGCGCACGTGAATACTCACGAATACTCATCCATATTAACGCGATTCTCAAACACTTTTACAGCAGAGAACACAAATGCGGTCAACACTTTAAGTCTTGTAATTTTAAAAGATTCAATATTTTTGAATCAGTTTTTCTACATAACAAACACTGTCAAACTTCACTTTAATGTCACATTCTAATTGCACTCGTATCTCAATTTCTATTGAATTGCCCACGACTGTGATTTTGAGTGCGTACATCTGAATTTGCGAATTCAAAGTGTAGGGCTGTCTTCACCCGAAGACCCCAATATTTTATTTTTGTTTTTTAAACCAAATGCGCATTAAAAATAGATCTGCTTCCAAATGAGCTTTTACATCACAACACTGAAAAGCTTTGGTTTAATTATAAATTATGTACATATTTTGAATGTTTGTATGTAATAATATAAATAAACGAAAAGTATAGAAGCTAATAGATCAATTGGAGGACCTTATGGGCTCTTGAAGTTTTCATTCCATTCAAGCAAAGCCTTATATTTATTAGAAATTCTAAGGAAATATTAATACGAAAAAACCAGAAAAAAACAAATAAACTATTTAATAAACATTTGAAATTCTTGTCCTTTTTTAAATCTTTTAACGAATAATATTCATTATTTTAAAAACACTTCAAAATTGTATTATAAATGGTATATTTTATTTGTTATCATTTTAATATTAAATATATATTTATATAAAAATAATAACGTAATACTATTTTTCTAACGAAATAAACATAAAACTTTAATAACAAGCTCATAAATAATTTGAGGTCCAGGAAGTATACCAAAAACACGGGTATGTAAATAAGAATAATAATTGAAAAATTCAAAGCAAAATTAACCAATCTACCAATAATTTTCTAATAAAATTTTTCTAAACCTTCTAATGCAATGTTATAAGTTTGTTTATTGTTAAAACAGTATTAATTACTGTAGCCCTGGTATTTGAATGTTAACAGAACAGCGCAGTCGCAACCTCTGTTAACCGCGGCAGAGCTTCTGACATTGATCGCTTCTTCTTAACCGCACAGCTGATGATAACAGCAAAAGCTTATTAACACCAACAAAAACCACACAAAAGCACAGCAACAAGTATGGCAGACACACACACAAACACACACAGGCTGTAAAAAGCTACTAAAGCAAACTGAAAATCAGCTGTCTCTGAACAAATTTTGTTTTTATTTTGTTTTTTCTTTTCGACCTCTCGAATTGCGTGATAAAAAGCAACGTAAATGGTTTTCCATTGTTAGATAAAAAAGCGCAGCGTACCAGCGAGCAGTTAGCCCTTGGAAATGGAGAGGTGAGGTCGTCGTTGGATCACAACTACTATTGCAGTGAATTAATTTTCTCTCTCTTGGGGGGAAAATTTCCAGCTTGCAGGTAAACACGAGCAGCGGCCCGGTGCGCGGAAAACTCTGCACAGCCGTGTACGGCGAACAGTATGTCAGCTTCGAGCGCATTCCGTATGCGCAGCCGCCGGTAGGTCGCCTCCGGTTCGTGGCCCCCGTGCCCGTGGAGCCCTGGTCCCAGCCACTGGACTGCACCCAAAAGGGTGAGAAGCCGCTGCAGTTTAATCACTACACCAAGCAGCTGGAGGGAGTCGAGGATTGCCTGTACCTCAATGTGTACGCCAAGGAGGTATTTACTGTCGTCCATCAATCAGTCCCGATTTTGTGTTCATATTGTAGTGTTTACATTCAGATAAAAGCCCTGCAGTACCACTCAACAGTAATTCATCAACAGTCAAGGCGGTGTTGTTGATGAATCATCGATGAATGTCCATACAAATTACTGATGAACTTAACATGGGCATGTCATAAACTGTCATCAACAATTCATCAACCATTCATCAAAAAAATCATCAACAATTAATCAATAATTCATCAATGATTCATCAACAACGATCCGCATGCCACTAGAGGCATGAGAGTAGAGGCACCTTAATGTTAAGTAGTATAATATAATAAATGCTCAGTGCAAACATAATAATAAAATATAAGCATTATCCTCTGCAAGTTAAACTTCTTTTCGATGCTCCAATTAAGATTTATGTTCATATTAAAATTAGTAATATCCTCCTCATATGTCATATATGATATTTAGTTATGATCACTAGATATTACTTATACATATATTATTCCCAAGGCAGTAAACCTGAACTGGTTATTATAAGTATTTATTTATAATTTCTCAGCATGTAAACTTCAAGTAAAAGTTTAGTCACGTAAGAGAAAAAAAATTATAAATAATCTTATATTAACCAGTTCAGTCTCGTAAGAGAAACTAAACTTCTACAAGAAATTCATCTATAAATATCTCCATAAAAATATAGTTTTTACGTTGAGTCACATAAGTCTGCATGTCTAAGTACAAAGCTATAACCCTGAAAATATATACATACATATTCAGATAAGAATTAACTTTGCAGCTGACTTTTGTTGTTAAAAGATAACGCGGAAAACGTATTTCAATACCGTGGATAGAGTTTATCAAACAAATAACAAATATAAAGTAAAGAGAAGAAAAAAAAAAAACAAATATATAACTAAATAAATATATAAACCATTACAATATAAGTTAAGTTTATATGCACACTTCATATTTTTATACCCTTGCAGGGTATTATAATTTCAGTCAGAAGTTTGCAACGCAGTGAAGGAGGCACCTCCGACTATATAAAGTATATATATTCTTGATCAGGATCAACAGCCGAGTCGATCTAGCCATGTCCGTCTGTCCGTCTGTCCGTCTGTCCTTCTGTCCGTCTGTCCGTCTGTCCGTCTGTCCGTTTCTACGCAAACTAGTCTCTCAGTTTTGAAGCTATCTGAATGAAACTTTGTAGTTAGCCTTCTATATACTCTCACTCGTATATATGTCGGAACGGGCCGGATCGGACGACTATATCACATAGCGGCCATAGGACTGATCGAAAAATTTTTACAAAAAAATTTTTAACGTTTTCAGTTTTCAATAGAATTGGATCAAATTTGAGATATAGCCATTTTACTATACTCTACAATTTTGCATAAAATTTTATGAAAATCGGACTAATATATCATATAGCTCCCATAGGAACGATCGAGAAATTAATACAATTAAATTTATAACCTTTTCAGTTTTCAACTGATTTTCATCAAATTTTAGGTATAGGCATTTAATTTAAGTCTTAAATTTTGTGGTAAATTTCATGAAAATCGGACGACTATATCATATAGGTGCCATACAAACGACTGTTTGATGTGGAGGAAAAATGCAAATCAGTGAATGTAAAACTGCAAATGTAATATGTATAGGTGAATGAAATGAAAGCAGGTATTACTATATATATAATTTGTATTGTATGGTTTTTTATTCATAGAAGTTCTATCTGCAAGGGTATATAAACTTCGGCGTGTCGAAGTTAGCTTCCTTTCTTGTTATTTAATATTTATTTTCATTCGCAGCTCAATTCAGCGATTCCGCTTCCACTGATTGTCTTCTTTTTCGGCGGTGGCTTTGAGAAAGGTGATCCCACCAAGGATCTGCACAGTCCGGATTATTTTATGATGCGTAATGTGGTGGTGGTAACTATTTCCTATCGCGTTGGCCCCCTGGGCTTCCTAAGCCTAAATGATCCCGCTGTTGGTGTGCCCGGTAATGCTGGACTCAAGGATCAACTGCTAGCCCTAAAATGGATCAAGGAGAATGCTCTTAACTTCAATGCGGATCCCAATAACATCACCGCTTTCGGTGAGAGTGCTGGAGCTGCCTCCGTGGATTATCTGATGCTAAATCCCAATGCTGAGGGACTGTTTCACAAGGCCATCATGCAATCGGGCAATGTGCTCTGCTCCTGGTCCCTCTGCCCCATCCAGAAGTTACCCCATCGACTGGCCGCTCATTTGGGAATGGAGGGTGCAGACTATGTCTCCGATGCCATGGTTCTCGACTTCCTACAAAGCCTGCCGGGGGAAAAACTGGTGCAACCCTATCTGCTCAACCAGAAGGAGCATATGGATGACTGTGTCTTTCAGTTTGGACCCATGGTGGAGCCCTATAAGACCGAGCATTGTGTGCTGCCTGCACATCCCAAGGATTTGCTAAGCCATGCCTGGGGCAACCGGATTCCAGTCCTGATGAGTGGCACCTCCTTCGAGGGACTTTTAATGTATGCCCGGGTGCACATGGCACCGTATCTGCTGACGAGCTTAAAGATGGAGCCAGAGCACATGCTACCGCTGGATGTGAAGCGAAATTTGCCTCAGGCTCTGGCTAGACACCTGGGCGAGCGGCTGCAGGAGACGCACTTTGCGAAAAGCGACCTGTCGTCCATGTCGCCGGAATCATTACGGGCTTACTGCGAGGTGACTTTTCTTGATTTTCTGTATCATTTAGAGCAAGAGAGTATAGTTTTTGTATATATCTTTCAGTACGCCAGCTACAAGGTCTTCTGGCATCCCATCCTGAGGTCTCTAAGGTCCCGACTGCGCCACTCCAATGCGCCCACATACCTGTACCGCTTCGACTTTGATTCGCCGACATTTAATCATCAGCGCATTAAGTACTGCGGGGATAAATTGAGGGGTGTGGCCCACGTAGATGATCATTCGTATCTTTGGTATGGAACCTTCTCCTGGAAGCTGGACAAGCACACCCCCGAATTCCTCACCATCGAACGGATGATCGACATTGTGACTAGCTTTGCCATTACATCGAATCCGAACTGCAAGCTAATCACGGAGCAGCTGCCACGAACCAAGGAGTGGAAGCCCTTGGATAGTAACTCGTCCTTGGAGTGTCTGAATATCTCGGATAGCATTAAGCTAATAGAGCTGCCAGAACTCCAGAAACTCAGGGTTTGGGAGAGTGTGTGTCAGTCATCGGCCTAGTCGTGCATATAAAATGCCATTATAGTTCAAATTTAAGTGTATCAAAATTTTATCAATAGAATATAATAGTTATATTTGCAATGATTTTGTATTTGTATTTTGTATTTGCGGAAATGTAGAGTATTAGTTCAAGTTATATAAGCTTGACATTATATTTTTTTAATTATTTGCAATGTCTTATTTGATTTAATATGCATTTAAAAACTCTTTTATGTGATTTTTATAAATAAACATTACTTTTGAGCACAGGGATAAAACCTCTGTGAGGAGGAAAGACTGTAATGTATTTTACAAAATTTTAACCACTCATCAAACAATCTTAACCCCTACAGACGATGGTTAACTTTCCGTTTTTGTGTTTATGCCACGTGTTTATTTGAAGTAAATTTAATCGAGATAGCTGAACGAACAGCTTATTTTAAAGTCGATAAGACGCGGTTATCTTACGAATTCATTGATTGGGATTTCACTGTATCAATGGAAGGAACGCACAGTACAATCTAGGCAGCTCTGGCGCTCGGAGATGACGGACGACTAGTAACTGAATTTTCTTTTATATAATTATTTTCATACCCTAATAATGGTTTTAGCAGTAACAGTTCGCCGGTGGTTCAGACGACACACGGCAAGGTACGGGGAACTTTGCTCAAGGGACTCTACGATGAGCAGTTCTATGCCTTCGATGGCATCCCGTATGCTGTTCCTCCGCTGGGAACCCTGCGATTCAAGGAACCGCACGCTCTTAAGCCTTGGTATGGCATTCGAGACGGATCCAAGCCCCTGGACAAGTGCCTCCAAGTGAGCAGCTACACCAAGTTGGTGGAGGGTTCTGAAGACTGCCTCTTCCTAAATATCTCTGTCAAGACTGTAAGTCATTTAAAATCTAACATAAATAAGCTAATTAATTCATCATCTTTTTGGCAGTTTAAGAGTGAGAAACCCTTGCCCCTGATGGTCTATATTCACGGGGGTGGTTACAAGAGTGGCGATTCCTCTAGACGAGCCTGGGGTCCGGACTATTTTATGAAAGAAGATGTAATTTTCGTAAGCATCGGTCACCGGCTTGGTCCTCTAGGTAAGTTGGTAAGAAAATAGAATAGATTAGATAGAAAACGTATTTAAATTGCAGGCTTTCTCAGTTTCAAGGATCCTTCGCTGGATATTCCTGGCAATGCTGGCCTAAAGGATATAATCTTAGCCCTTCAATGGATCAAGGCAAATGCTGTCAACTTCAATGGCGATCCGGATAACATTACCATCTTTGGTCACAGCTCCGGCAGCACGACAGTTCAGCTCTTGTTGGCCAGTCCGCAAACAGAGGGACTTTTCCATAAGGCCATCCTCATGGCGGGTTTTTCCATGGAGTTGAACCGCTTGCCTGATATGGAGTATCGCCTGGCTAAACACTTGGGCTACGAGGGCGAGAATGTGGACAAGCAGGTCTTGGACTTTCTCTTAAAGGCAGATCCTCATCTGCTAGTCTCCTCGGACTTTTTTACAGAGGCGGAGAAGAGCCGCGGGTTTAATTTAGCTTTTGTGCCAAGTGTGGAAGGTTATGTGACCCCCAAGGCTGTACTCCTAGCAGAGCCCATTGAACTTCAACGCAAGACCTGGAGCAATCGGATCCCTATTATATTGGGGTGCAACAGCGGCGAGGGCATATTCCCCATTGGTTTTGCTAAAACGAACCCGAAATGGCTTTCAAAATTTCAACATAGTCCGGAATGTGTATTACCGTCTACGTTGAGGCTTCGCTGCGATACCGGCCAGCGTCGCCAGTTGGGGCAATCGCTGGTCCAAGGCTTCTGCCAGGCACATGGTGCATATCTGTCCGTAAATCATTCGGATGCACTTGTGGAACTCTACACACACAGCATGGTTCATGCGCAGGATCGATTAGTCCAGGCCAGATTGGCTTACGGTCAGGCTCCAACGTACTTGTACCGCTTCGATTTCGATTCGCCGGACTTTAACTTCTACCGCATCCGATTTTTCGGAAAGGAACAGCGAGGAGTTGGTCATGTGGATGAGTTGGGATACATTTTCGTGATACCCGCCACCTTTAAACTGGACGAGTCTCGACCGGAATTCATAACCATTCGCCGCATGATTAACATGCTTGTCCATTTCGCAGCCACTTCGGACCCAAATGCTCCGCTTACCAAGTCCCTGGTTGAGTGGAAGCCAGTCGCACGATTTGGAACCCGAATGGTGCTCAACATCAGTGAGGATTTGAAGTTTATTCCACAACCAGAAATGCCAAGGCTAAAGTTCTTCGATCGACTGTACGAGCAGGCTGGAGTGCCTTTGATTTAGAATCAAAATACTCTTTTTTGGACCTAATTCTCGAGGGACTTTCATACAATGATCATAAAAGTTTAAAAATTGCAAGTATAATGCCATCTTCTTATATTAATATACAATGTCGATGACGTCAAAATTACAAAAAAAAGTGTTTATAAAATTCAATTGTGAAGGATTCTTAATTATAATCAGAAATTTGTCTAGCTATATAACTTTATTGCCTGTATTTTCTTTACATATTCCCAAGCCTATACGTTTAATAACTCTTGCGATAAACAGCCTCTTGACTTTGTTCTCTAGAAACCTTTTTTTTGTCAACGAAATTTATCGTTGTTGCGGTTTTGGTGATTGTTGATAAGCAGCGGCTATCAGCGTTCCCTGTAGAGATTTGTTTCTTTCAAAAGTCCATGCACAGTCAACGCTGAATGGTGCTGGAGAGTGGATGTGATGTCGGATTAGTAAGAGAATTATATTCCAGTCAAGGAATTCGACCCTTTAAATTTTCGGTACTACTTTCAGCACAGAGAAGTCTCCTGTCGTTCAGACAACACACGGAAAAGTTCAAGGAATTTTGCTCAAGGGTCTGTATGATGATCAGTTTTATGCCTTCGATGGCATCCCTTATGCTGAACCTCCGCTTGGAGCACTGCGCTTCAAGGAGCCGCACGATGTGAAGCCCTGGCATGGAATTCGAGACTGCTCCAAGCCCCTGGACAAATCCATCCAAGTGAGCACCTATACCAAGTTAGTGGAGGGTTCAGAAGACTGCTTGTACCTGAATATATCCGTGAAAACTGTGAGTCTTCCTAATTCGAATATAACCCTTTTGCTCAATAATAGTTTTTATAGTTGAAAAGCAATAAACCCTTGCCATTGATGGTCTATATCCATGGTGGTGGTTTCAAAAGCGGAGATCCCTCAAGACGAGCCTGGGGACCGGACTATTTTATGAGAGAAAATGTCATCCACATCAGTATCGGTCATCGTTTGGGACCACTTGGTGAGTTATTCTAAAGCAACATCATATTCCTTCTTCCTTTGATTATTTATCCTTTCTAAACTGTGAAATTTAGGGTTTCTTGCCTTCAAGGATCCCTCTTTGGGTATTCCTGGTAATGCTGGTCTCAAGGATATGGTCCTTGCCCTCCGTTGGATCAAGGCAAATGCTGTCAACTTCAATGGCGATCCGGATAACATTACCCTCTTTGGTCACAGCTCCGGCAGCATGACAGTTCAGCTTCTGTTGGCCATTCCCCAGACAGAGGGACTTTTCCATAAGGCCATTCTCATGGCGGGTTATTCCATGGAGGTGAATCGCTTGCCTGATGTGGAATATCGCCTGGCGAAGCACTTGGGCTACGAGGGCGAGAATGTGGACAGGAAAGTCTTTGAGTTCCTCTTAAAGGAAGATTCTAGTCGTCTTGTCTCTGCGGACTTTTTGACTGATGCAGAGAAGGGTAAGGGACTTTCTATGCCTTTCAGACCCAACGTGGAGAGCTACGTCACTCCTGGAGCCTTTCTACTGGCGGAACCTATTGTCCTAATGCGCAGTACATGGAGCAACAGCATTCCCCTTATGTTGGGAGCAAACACTGATGACGGACTGATGTACTTAAGTGAATTTCTAACCGATCCCACGGTCTTGCAGCAGTTTCAGACATATCCGGAGCGTGTACTTCCGAGTACCCTAATGAATGGCACTAATACCGCCCAACAACGGGCAATGGGAGTGGAGCTGTGTGAATACTTCTGCCAGGCTCATGGGGAGGATCTCACATTGGGACATTTAAGGGCACTGACGGAACTCTTCACCATCAACACACTGCATTCGCAGGAGCGAGTAATCCGCTCCAGATTGGCTTACAGCCAGGCACCAACCTATCTATACCGCTTCGGTTTCGATTCGCCGGACTTTAACTTCTACCGAATTCGTTATTGGGGTCATAGCATTCGAGCTGTGACCCACGTTGATGAGTTGGGATATATCTACGTGCTCCCGGCCACCTTTAAATTGGACAAATCGCGACCAGAGTTTACCACCATTTGCCGTATGGTGGCCATGTGGACACAATTTGCTGCCACCTCGAATCCTAATGCTCCTCTAACCCAACCCTTTGTGGACTGGAAGCCTTTGACTTCAACTGGAGACCGGATGCTGCTCGACATTAATGAGGATCTTAAGTTCATATCGCAGCCCGAGCAGTCGAGAATGGAATGCCACGATCGTCTATACGAAGAGGCTGGGATAAAGATGTTTTAGTGCATTCTGTCATTTAGTTCTAAAGATACTGTATCTAGATACTGTATGTTATGACTTTGAGATTTATTTTAGGAACGCAGATAAACAAAACTATAAACATGTACCCCTTTTAATATAGATAATATAATATCTAAGGCAAAGAAACCCCCTACGAATAAACACCAATAGTTTTATAACTCAGAGAGGCTTAGTGATTTCTACTAAACTGTAACAAATTCTGCATAATTATATGTTCACGTTAAAAGATGTCTGTTTAGTTTAAATAAACAACTTCAAGCCAATCCTCAAATATTTAATCATTTAAAAATAGCTTAACCTAAATAATAATAATAAACCCTTTATCATGATTAATTGTACTATGTTTTTGAGCTAAAAGTACTATTTACTGATAAGTTCTATTGCTTGATAAGGTTTCTCACCACAATAAACCCCTTAAAAAAAAGCTCGATTACTGGACATGTTTTTTTCAACACCTCTGTGGCAGCTGGAACTTTTTCCATTGCTTTTTGGCTTTGGAAGTACAAATTAAATCGTTTTGATTTAGTTGACAGACGACACGCGCTGCGAACGGACAACTGCCAAACGATGTCGGAGAGGTGAGGTTGACGTCACATAGGAAACTAGAGATTCTCAGTTAATTTGCCTTTTTAATGCAGTCTCGAAAGCTGTGAACTAACCCTGCCCCTGGGTCAAATTAGAGGTGTTAAACGTCAGAGCCTCTACGATGATACCTACTTCAGTTTCGAGAAGATTCCCTTTGCCAAACCGCCGCTGGGAGAGCTTCGTTTCAAGTCCCCCGTGCCGGCGGATCCATGGAGCGGAGTCTTGGATTGCACCCACTTTGCGGAGAAGCCCACCCAGCGGAGTTTGATGACGAAAGTTATCGAAGGCGGAGAGGATTGTTTGTATTTGAATGTCTACTCCAAGCAGGTAAATTATAAAAGGAAATATTAGATAATTAGAAATTGCCAAGAAAAGAAATGAGTTAAATCCCTCATTAATTTCTATATGTTTATCTTTTTGATTATTATTTGTGATGGATGATTTGTTTTTTATTGCAGTTAAAGAGTGACAAGCCTTTGCCGGTCATGGTCTACATCTATGGCGGGGCCTTCACCGTTGGCGAGGCCACACGCGAGCTCTACGGCCCGGACTACTTCATGACCAAGGACGTGGTCCTGGTAAATTTCAACTATCGTGTAGATTGTTTGGGTGAGTTAGCAAAAAAAGGGGTTGGTTATACCTTATCTTCAGTCGCCAAGAGTTTGGACTCTTTCCGTATCTTATCAATGGGTTCAAAATATCAAATTTGTAATCGTATGTTAATTTCTAATGAAGTTGTAGATTTGGAAATCAGTTGTATGTTTTTGTTATTGTGTTATGATGAAATATATTTAACAAAATATTTGTAAATATAATAAATGAATTCCCTTGCAGGTTTTCTCTCCCTGAAGGATCCCAGTCTCCAGGTGCCCGGAAATGCTGGCCTCAAGGATCAGGTGCTGGCTCTTAAGTGGGTCAAGCAATACATTTCGAACTTCAATGGCGATCCTGACAATATCACGATCTTTGGCGAAAGTGCTGGCGGTTGTTCCACCCATTTTATGATGTGTACGGAGCAGACCCGGGGGCTTTTCCACAAGGCCATCCCTATGTCGGGAACTCTGCACAACTATTGGTCCAATACCCCCACCGAGGACTTTGCCTTCCGTCTGGCCCAGCAGTTGGGATACAATGGCGAAAACAATGATACCAAGGTGTTAGAGTATCTACGTGGAGTTCCTGCCAGAGATTTGGTTAATCATAATCTGATAACTCCCGAGCTTCGAAGGAATGGTATGCTGTTTCCCTTTGGACCCACCGTGGAGTCCTATGTGGGTGAGGATTGTGTGGTGCCCAAGCACCCGGTGGAAATGGCTCGGGATGCGTGGAGCAACAACCTGCCTGCTATGCTGGGAGGCACCTCCTTCGAGGGTCTCTTCATGTATCCCGGAGTGGCTGCTAATCTAAAATCATTGGACAGCCTTAGCCAGGATCCACAGAGAATGGTGCCGCACGAGGTGCGAGTGGTGAGCAGCGACGAGGAGAATACGGAGTACGGGCAGCTCTTGATTAAAACCTACTTTGGAGATCAGCCGCCCAGTGCAGAGCGCTTTATGACCATCCTCGATGTGAGTATAAGGATATAAGTATTCTATACTTCTGAGAATTAATTTACTCTTATATTCCTTCCAGTTCTATTCCTATAAAGTCTTTTGGCATGGATTTCATCGAACTTTGAACGCTCGCCTTGCCTATGCCACAGCACCAACATACTATTACAGATTTGACGTTGACTCCCCCAACTTTAATTTCTATCGAACAAAATTCTGTGGAGATAATATTAAGACTGGAGTGGCCCATGCTGATGATCTTGGCTATTTGTTTAGGAACGCTGCATCTTGGAAGCTGGAGAAGACCTCGCCGGAATATCGTGCCATTCAAAATATGATTGGTATTTGGACTGCTTTTGCAGCTACTTCCAATCCAAACTGCCAGGAAATTGGTCAAGTTAATTGGAAACCTTCAACAAAGGAAAATCCAAGGGCTGTGCTCAATATCAGCAATGAGGTGAAAGTTATTGATCTGCCCGAGTACGACAATCTGCTGGTGTGGGATTCCATCTACAAGCCGGATCAATTGATCTAAACTTAAAGTTTGTACACTTTTAACAGGCTTTTAGAAGGCTAGAATAATGTTTAAACAAATACGTTTTTGTAAATAAATAAAACAAAGGTAGACTTTATCAAAAATTATAAGTTAAACATCGCAACCAAAAGGTAACATCTTCATACTCTTAATGGTGGTGATAACCTTAAATTTATTAAAAAAAATCCCCACTCTAGAGTTGTTGCAATACATTTTTAACCAAAGTCGGCTTTTCACTCATTCATTTTGAATATGTTTTCTCAATCATTTTTAGTACGAGACCTTGCTGCTATTGTCAAAGTGTTAAAATGTTTTTTGAGTCCTGTATAATATTGTGGACAGGCTTATCATTTCTGCTAAGGTCTAAGGATACGTAAGTAACAAAGCAAACAATTTATGACACACTGACATTGTATTTAATGGGTTTTTTATATTTTAAAGTCCATTGTTTTGGTAATCTTCAACTGGCGAATCGCTCTCGCTTCTTAACCTTAGTAAAGTTTTATAATAATTTGTAATTTGTATAATATACAATATACAAATATACATAAAAATATAAAAGGTGATCCATATTTCGGTCCTCAAAGTTGGCTTCTTTTCTAGTCTCATATATTTGGTCTTGACTTTTTCAAAAACCATTCACATTCGAAAACTCATAGCTATATTTACTCCCAGCTCGTCGTCCCCTGTGTCTGTAACTGAAAATATAGAGCTAGAAACTATGAATTCAAAGACTTTGAAGCCGGCTGAGGCCCCGAACAAGCTTTTGTCGGCTGTTAAGGACCTTCTGCTGTGGCGAAGCTTCCGCCTAACCCTGGTGGTATTCACGACCATCGTGATCCTGCTCCTGGACATCATGGCTCACTCGGTGATTAGTGTGATCAGCATGGCAGGCATCACTGTACTTCTGGCGGCTGTCGCATATCGTTGTTTCTGTCAGTTTACAAAGTGGAGGAAGGGCGGTGGAGTCCAGGATGAGGTTGCAACGTGTATGTATCCGAAAGTTAGGATTGATATACCTCGAGAGGAGACCATGCGACTGGCAGGTGTTGGCGTTGATTATCTGAACATTTGCTTAAATCGTATAATTGGATTGATTTTGGTGGAGAGCTGGGAGGAGTCCCTAAAGTGCCTGGCCATACTTTGCGGTCTTAATTTACTGGGCGATTGTTTCAACGGAATAACATTGATTTTATTTGGTGAGTTTTATTAGAAGTGGGGGTTAATCTAAGGACACCATATCTAAAACTAACAATAATTAATCCTATCCCTCACAGTACACGTCTTACTTTTTACCTTACCAAAACTTTACGAATGGTACCAACCATTTATTGATGCTCAGTTGTTAAAATTAAGTAAATTCAAGAAACAGAATAAGAAGATACCCGAAACTAAGACTGAAAACCCAGAGAACCCCCCAGAGGATAATTTTGCCAAGGGTCAGTATAAGGAAGAGGAGTCCAGTGAGAGCAACTTGCTCTATAAGATCTCCGATAATGAGCAGCTACTGGATCTTCTGGAGGCAGAGCATCGCAAGGGCTGCCGATGTCGCGACTGCGAGCACCAGGATCTGCCCATCGAGGAGCTTTAAATTCCATTCAATTTTACGAAATCACTTTTGAAGTTTATGTTCAAAATTTGCGTTGTGCCAATACAGTTGTTTATTATTCAATCAGATGTGTTTTATTTCTCGTTTCAAAATTTTGGGACTCACTGTACAGCGGATCAAGTTCCCTGCCCGTCTCCGTTCAAGCATCGGAATCGATAATGACATGTGGAAACTCTGCCGGGCCAGTAGTCGTAGTCTGAGTCAATGCAAATGTCTGCGCATTTACAAGCCGCAACGCGGCCTTTGCACCACCACAAGTCCGAATGAAGGTGTCCCGGACTCCAAAGTCGTGGAGCTCTCTGTGGGAAGTGTAAGGGGTCGCTGGCAGTGTGGCCTCTATGGCGACGCTTTCTACAGCTTTGAGGGAATCCCCTTTGCCAAGCCGCCGCTGGGTGAGCTTCGGTTTGTGGCCTCCCAACCGGCGGATATGTGGGTCAACCAGGAGCTGGAAGCCCTTCAAGAGAAGCCTATACCACTACAGGTGGATCGTCAAACAGGCAAGGTCATTGGCAGCGAGGATTGCCTGTACTTGAATGTGTACACAAAGCATGTGAGTGACTCAAATACCATTCTGTGCTTTCTAAATATTTAATTCCCTTTAGTTTGATGAATCGAAGCCACCCCTGCCCGTCATGGTATATATTTACGGAGGAGGTTTTCGCACAGGTGGTGCCTTAAGATCCAAGTACGGTCCGGATTACCTGATGAGCAAGGATATTGTCTACGTGATTTTTAACTATCGTCTCTGCTCACTGGGTTTTCTCAGTTTACCGAGTCCGGAGTCGAATGTTTCTGGCAACGCGGGTCTCCACGACCAAATAATGGCTCTCCAGTGGGTAAATCAACACATTCAGAATTTTAACGGCGATCCAAAGAATATAACGATTTTTGGTGAAAGTGCCGGAGCTGCATCGGTTCACTTTATGATGTGCCTACCGGAGGCAAAGTGTCTGTTTCACAAGGCCATCATGATGTCCGGTTCGATACTGAGTCCCTGGGTGTATTCTCCGGAAAAGCAAAATTTGTTCTCCCGTCTTGCCATAGCAGCAGGATATCAGGGACCGGAAACTGAAGCCTCCATGCTGGAGTTCCTGCGCAATGTGGCGGCTGAGAAGTTGCTGGGACACGAGTTCTTTACACCTCGAGATCGTTGCTTCGGCTTCCTATACCCCTTTGTGCCGGGTTTGGCCAGCACTAAGGGGGGACTGATTCAAGCATCTTACCCGCAGCTAATGAAAGAGGCCTGGTCTGGCGGTATACCTCTGCTGCTGGGTGGCACATCCTTTGAGGGTTTGGTGTTTTATCCATTCTGCAAGCTGGACAATGGCTATATGCTGGACCTTTTGAAGCATGAACCCGAGATGGTGCTGCCCCACGAACTGTACTGCTCGATGAGCAATGAGGAGCGCCTTAAAGCCTCCGATGAACTGGTAAAGTATCATTATGGACCCCGTGGAATAACCAAGAGCAATGTTACGCAGATTCTGGATGTGAGTTCGGACAAATTCTTTCCTCAACTAGCTTAAGACCTTTCCCTTCCAGCTCTTTAGCTACAAGCTCTTTTGGCATGGCATGCATCGTGTGGTCCTGTCACGATTGTCCCAGGCTCAGGCGAATACTTATCTGTATCGCTTTGATTTCGACTCCCCCAAATGGAACTTGATGCGGAACAACCTGTGCGGTGATGATATCAAGCGAGGAGTGTGCCATGCCGATGACCTGGGCTATATCTTTCGCAAAAAGGATCATAAGAAGCTACCACTAGACTCTGCCGAATATCTCACAATTCAGCGGATGGTCAGCATATTGACCACCTTTGCCAGCACGGGAGATCCCAATTGTCCAGAGACAGGACCCGATCAATGGACACCGGTCACCGTCAAGTATCCTTTCAGGGTTCTAAACATTGGACAGAACGTTGAGTTCTTGACGCAAATCGAAAAGGATGGTCTGGAGGTATGGAATCGTCTTTATAACTCTCACAAGATGGCCGCTTAGCTTAGCTTTCAAAATTTAATAAGAAAATTCATACAAATTTGTATAGGAATTATTTTTTGTATTAAATATTTAAATGTTATTTTACAACGCTTTTCATTTTAGAAGCGCTACGAGGGAAGTGATGCAATTTTCCTTTATTTTAAAGTTTTATATGGATTTTCTTAGTTTATTCTTAAATATTAAATGTAAATATATATTAATAAATATTTTTTGTTGCAAAATTAAAGTCTAACTCCCACTGTAAAGCTTCTCAGTGGCTTTACTAGATCGAAAGCTTTTGCGCCAACGCCCCACACCAGCCATAAGCTTTATGACCGTGTAAACAAAAACAAAACAACATAAATTTTGTTTATTTACCGTAGTTTTGCCGGCGCGATCAAAATGTTGTTGACCCACTCAGTGGGCGCCTCTCCCCGCTTTCCCCTTGACTAACTGTCAAAGTAGCTGACAAATAGCGGAGCTAATAGTTCTAGATACTTGGTTAAAATGAAGATACAGTGAAGATACCTAAGCTCAAAACTATCTTTGAAATAGATAAAAACCCATTAAATAATTGAGTTAAATTATATTTTTTGTTAAAGAAATATATATTCTTTAATAAATATAATTTAAAAAAATTTTCTGAGGCTAGAAATGCTCTTCTTGGGCTGAATTTATCAAGTGCTATCTTTCTTAAGATAGAAAGATACAAGAAACATAGCCTAGAACTTGAAAGTACATTCTGAAGTTACCTAGACCTTAATCTCTTTGATATTTCTATTTTCTTGCTGTGTTGTTTAATTATTTAACAAAATACTTATAGTTTAGTTAAAAGGTGCGGCTTATAGCTACCGGTACTGGTTCAAGTTGAAGCGTACTTTGGCTAAGCTATCTTATAGATTCACATACTTTAACACGTTTTTGCACTGCGCAAATGAATATTTTTAATTTTTCGCAGTGTTTGATTAATTATGCATTCGCCTGAGGCACTTCGGGAGGTGTTTCTGGCCCCCTAAACCCCCTCTAGAACCCCGCGCTGAGTGACAGCCCACGCTCGATGATCGCTTGTTGCTATATCAGTAACTTTTGTTGCTGTTTTGTTGTAGTTTATCTCCGCTCTGCACTTGAAATACCATTTTTTTCGTTTTCTTCTTGTTAAGTTTATTTTCTCTCTTCTCTCTCTATGGCTCTCTTCGTTCTTCTTTATTTTCGGTTTAATTTGTATTCCGATATTTGTGTTAATGTATTATATATTTTTCTATAATTTTTTGTTGTTGTTCACTTGTTTTTTTTTTTGCCTATTTGGCGCTCTGCCGCTGGAAAAAGTCTGTTTTTAATTTCAGTTTCAGTTCGTCGCTGGCCCGCAACAGTACGCAGCTCGTGAACCTATTCTGTGTATATAGAAAATCGATCGTGTCGTTTATGGTGAACTGAACTATTCCGATATGAACAAGAACCTCGGCTTTGTGGAGCGCCTGCGATGGCGCCTCAAGTAAGTTTTGCCGGCGACCTTAATGCCGGGGGAATTATTAATTCAATTATCGTTTATATTAATGACTGAGGAGAGTGTGCCTTTTCCCCTCTATACTTTCGATTGCACAGTCTTCTCTTTTTATTTATTTTATTTTGTGGGTGCTATTGTTGTGGTCGACTCTGTCGATTGTAGCGGTTCGTGTTTCAGGTTCTTTGTTTGCTAAGTATATTTTATTTTTGCGGCTTTTTTGTTTTCTTTTCATTTATTGGTAATTTTTTTTATTATTGACAGTCCGGCATGACTAATTCTGAGGATGGTTGGAATTATTAATTTTTAGTGTTCTAATTGAGTCAGTTTTTGCTGTAGACAGATTAGATTTTGTGAAATTACGCAAGACCCGGGAATATAGGTGGGTAGGTCATCAGGGAACATTGTTGAGTGCTGATAAAATTGAAATAAATTAATTTAGATTGTGAAACTTTCCAATCAAGTTCGCAGCAATTCAGAAATTGCAGGGAATATTTTTTAAATTAAATACTGGCACTTGAAAACTAAGAATCTTAGTAAATTTTTTACTTTCAAATACAATTACAAACAAAAAAGTCTTATTTGTACAAGTTTATCTGAATATTATGTATTTTTTATACTTTACTAAGCACATAAATTAGACATAACAAAAATACTTGATAAATTTCATGAAAGTTTCTCCATCTTCCATCGCTTTATTCGACAAAGTTTTTTATATTGGTAATAAAAATGTCACTTGTAACCATTAATCGACTTTGGATAAATTCATAAAACTGTATTTATTGCTTAATCAGTATAACGTGCATTAATATTTTATATTTATTACTCCATGTAGACGGTAATGTCATGGCTATGGCCATTTAATCGATACGCAAATTCAATTTGTTTAAGCAAATGGGGTTTGAGCTACTTTGTTGTGCAACGTAAACACTTTGGTAACTGAATATGTGCTCTCCAGTGTAAACAACGCGATTGTAGAGTCTGTGAGGGTTCTAAACCCCATAAATGATAACATTAAGCATTGATTTGTGTTCCAAATATAATTATTTAATTTCCCCAAGTCATTCTGTGTCTGCTCTTATCAAACGTGATAACCTTGATATTGAAGAATCGATTGATTGCTGAAAAGTTTCGATTTCAACACGTTTCCCCAGTATTCCTATAATAATTGGCATATTAAAATTGTATCACGCTGACAGCTAAATTGGTGTGGTTTTTTATTTTTTTCTGCTTTAATTTAATGCAATTAAAAACTCTGAAGAGGGCTCTGAATAATTATAGGCAATTTTTCACATTACTCGTGTTAAAAATAAATACATAACGCAATTTATGCCCAGCTAATAATATGCAATTAAATTTTTAATGCTCAAAATAGGTGATATTCGTGACCCTTCTGATAATTGGTGTTTTATTATTAAATTGAATATACAATAATAATGCCTACTCCTCTCTGACATTGATAAGCAACTGGCAGCTGATGATAAGACAGAACAATGGCCTAGGACTATAATATATTCAAAAGATTATGAGCATTATGAGCATACTTTGGTGTTCATTAACTGCCAGCCAAAAAGGGTAGTCCGAAACCCGAAATGATTTAAGGCCTGTCCGTCCAGTGCCTTAAATTTGGAGCACTCCGGATTGCTGCTTCACTGGCCACCGGGCAGCAGTGCCAGGACTGTGTTAATTTATCACTGACAGACGTGCCTGGTTAGCAGGTGGACCACACAGTCGACTGAACCACCTAAGCCCGATGACCAGACTCAGTCTGCAAATGCAGCAATACACTTGAAAAAGTATTTTAAGATTCAAGATTTAGAAAATATTTTAAAACTAGAAGCATTAAGCCAGTGCTCTTTCGGTTTAGCTTGAATAAATATTGAAAGAAGGGTTTATAAAATATAAAATACAATTTCAAATAATTCTCTGAGAACTATTTACACACTATAAGGTTTTTTTTTCAGTCCATTTCATAGAGCTGAGAAATGGATTGTGTTGGGGTTTGGCTATGGGTTGGGCTGTCGGTGGATTCGATGTGATGAACAGCAGCAAAACAATTTAAATTTAATGCAATGCATGCATTTCTGCCCAGTGGCATGTGGCTTTGAGACTGAATTAAAATAATTGACTTTGTGACAAAAATATCAAATTATCCGGGTGCGATTCGGTTTCGATATTGTTATGCTAATTATGCTTCCTCTCGTCACTCAATTGCAGAACCATCGAGCATAAGGTCCAGCAGTATCGCCAAACGACCAACGAGACCGTGGTGGCCGAGACCGAGTATGGCAAAGTGCAGGGTATCAAGCGATTATCCCTCTACGATGTGCCCTACTTCAGTTTCGAAGGTATTCCCTATGCCCAGCCACCGATCGGTGAGTTGAGGTTTAAGGCTCCGCAACGACCGATACCCTGGGAAGGAGTTCGCGATTGCAGCCAGTCCAAAGACAAGGCCGTCCAAGTGCAATTCATCTTTGACAAGGTCGAGGGTTCCGAGGATTGCCTCTACTTAAATGTTTACACCAATAATGTGAGTATTATTTAGGTGAAATATATTTTAGTAAATAAATTATACAAGCTGTCAACAAATATCTAAAGAATTCATTCATACAAGTATGAAGGAATGGACCTTAACGGATGACTTCATCTTATTCATTAATTACAAATGCCCATTTCATACATTTTGACCTTTCAGATGATATCACTTTGAGCTTATGTTTTTCCAAAGCCATCTTTTAAGGGGTATTTTTCTCAGTGATGCCATCATTAATGCCTTAAAATATATAAGCCAGAAGCAAATATTGGCCATAAAGCCCAAAAAATAACATTTCTCTGAGCAGATTCAAAATAAGATAAGACAATGAAGGCTGGAGAAATGTGTACTTTGTATTAAGATTTTTTGTTTACGAATAATTCCAGTATAAAAGACTTAACAAAGGCATATGTGAGGGAGGTAGATTACAAGATTTATTTAAACCTATAAAAGAAAAGGTTTGTTTATTTAAAGACACGTGTAAAATACAAATGGAACTTAGATAGTTTAAATCATAATGTGTAATCATTACCTAGTTTTTATTTTAATTTACTTTATTCTTTCTATATTTTTAAATACTTTTACTAATATTCTTCTTATAAACTCTATTTTAATACCAAATATATATTTTAATATATAAAATAATTGTTCATTTCAGGTTAAACCTGACAAGCCCCGACCCGTCCTAGTCTGGATTCATGGCGGAGGCTTCATCATTGGTGAAGCCAGTCGGGAGTGGTATGGACCCGATTACTTCATGAAGGAAGATGTGGTTCTCGTTACCATCCAATACCGTCTTGGAGCCTTGGGTAGGTCTATAATTATTTATAAATTGTCTTATTCCTTATTCTAACCCCTTAGGTTTCATGAGTCTGAAATCGCCGGAGTTAAATGTACCTGGCAACGCTGGACTTAAGGATCAAGTGCTGGCCCTCAAGTGGATCAAGAATAATTGTGCCAGTTTCGGTGGAGATCCCAACTGCATCACTGTCTTTGGAGAAAGTGCTGGCGCAGCCTCAACCCATTACATGATGATAACAGAGCAGACCCAAGGACTCTTTCATCGGGGTATCCTGCAGTCGGGCAGTGCAATTGCTCCCTGGGCCTACAATGGAGACATCACCCACAATGCCTACAGGATAGCCAAGCTGGTTGGCTACAAGGGGGAGAATAATGACAAGGATGTACTGGAATTCCTACAAACTGTTAAGGCTAAGGACCTCATTCGGGTCGAAGAGAATGTCCTAACGATTGAGGATCGCATGAACAAAATCATGTTTGCTTTCGGTCCTTCCCTGGAGCTCTTTCATACGCCCGATTGCGTGATACCCAAGCCACCCAAGGAGATGATGAAGACCGCCTGGAGCAATTCTATACCCATGATGATTGGAAATACATCGTACGAGGGTCTACTTTGGATGCCAGGTGAGTTGAACTATTAAGTGATTTGTTAGTATATGATTTTTAATAATTAAATGCTAATTTTTTAGAAATCAAACTGATGCCTCAGGTGGCCCAACAGGTGGATGCTGGTACTCCCTTTATACCCAAAGAATTGAAAGCTACGGAACCCAGTAAGGAAAAGCAGGAGGCTTGGGGTGCCAGGCTACGTGATGCTGTACGCACTGGAACCGAGGCCACCGCTGACAATTACATGGATGTAAGGATTTTCATAGAGTACATCCATATGATATTGAAAGTTTTGTTTAATTTCCAGCTCTGTTCGATTCACTATTTTGTTTTCCCGGCTATCCGGGTGATTCGCTCTCGGCATGCTTATGCAGCCGGGGCTCCAGTTTACCTCTATCGCTTCGATTTTGACTCCGAGGAGCTCATCTTTCCGTATCGCCTCATGCGATTTGGACGTGGAGTCAAGGGAGTGAGCCATGCCGATGACTTGACCTACCAATTCACCAGTTTGTTGGCCCGCCGATTGCCCAAGGACAGCCGCGAGTACCGGAATATCGAGCGAACTATCGGCATCTGGACACAGTTTGCAACCACCGGAAATCCCTATAGCGAGAAGATCAACGGCATGGACACTCTGACCTTGGATCCAGTTCGAAAATCTGATGATGTCTTCAAGTGCCTGAACATTAGCGATGACCTGAAGTTCATAGTCATGCCCGAGTGGCCTAAGATTAAGGCCTGGGAGAGCCTCTACGATGACAACAAGGATCTACTGTTTTAAGGAGCTATTGATTAACAATATAAATAACTAGAAATTGTATATAGAAAAGAATGCTTTACTAAATATATATTGCATAATTTTGCTTAACTGAAAGTGGTAAAAGGTTGTTGAAAGATTAATTCTAATTATTTTTGATACATAGATCAATATTTACATTATTAAACCAAGTAAGCTTGTTAAAATAAATCATTGCTTTACAAATAAAGTGTTTACATTAATTTTCTTCAAGAATAAGAAGTGGGTAATATGCGATTATATTATTTATGTATATTAAATGATGTCAGAAAAAGTGAAAACTAATAAAGTTTATAAATATTCTATTAAATAAATTAACTTTATACCGCTGCTGATAAGTAAGGTAATTAAAAACAATATGCAAAATAGGCAAATAACAATCAGTTTAATTAGGTTTTTAACTAAATGAATATCTATTAAATATAAAAAAGTCTATTAAATATAAAAATCATTACGACAAATTCTTGAATTTTAAATCATATTAACTTTGAAAAATGACATTAAATACTTTAAAGTAAGAAGTTAAATTATAGTTAGAATATTATATTTGGAAATTATGTTTTTATTCCGTTCAAATATATTTTTAACTTATTTTTTCTTAGTATTATTATTCGTAGCCAAAAAGAATGCTTTATATTTTCTGTATATGTTTCGTTGCTTCAAAGATATACTTGTTCATACAAAGAAGTCTTGTACTTCATTGTCATTCACTGTGACGTATAAAATATATTTCAGTTTAAGGGGGTTCGTCGAACCCTTTTGAACAAGGCTGTCAGTTTCAAATAAAAGCTATAGCAACCCTGCTTTTTAGACAAAAATAAATTATAAAAAGTTTTCTTTTAGATACGCAAGGAACTAGAAGGTAAAGGATCCTAACCTACTGTTTAGAATGGCTGCCACACGTCGCCTGACCCGTGAGCTCTCGGACTTGAATGAGGCCAAGATGAGCACATTGAGGAACCTGGAGAGCAGCGACGAGACCCTCCTCCTGTGGACGGGACTCCTCGTGCCGGAGAAGGCGCCCTACAACAAGGGTGCCTTCCGCATCGAGATCACCTTCCCACCGCAGTATCCATTCATGCCGCCGAAGATCCTATTCAAGACAAAAATCTATCATCCCAATGTTGATGAGAAGGGTGAGGTGTGCCTGCCGATTATCAATTCTGACAACTGGAAGCCAACCACGCGAACGGAGGACGTAATACAGGCACTGGTGGCCATCATTCACAATCCAGAGCCAGAGCATCCGCTGCGCTCCGATTTGGCCGAGGAGTTTGTCAAGGAGCACAAGAAGTTCATGAAGACAGCCGAGGAGTTCACCAAGAAGAACGCGGAAAAGCGACCAGAGTGAAGTCAACAAACTGGCAGTGCACAGATCCCATTCAATGTACATCAAAATTTAATACAGTTTAGACCTTGAATTCAAATCGTGTTTTGTTAATTGATGATTTAATCTGAATAGATATTTGGTTTAGAAGTGGTAAAAGGAGTAATTATTATGTAAAACCTTATAAAAGGTTATTAGTTTAAGGTTTAGGGCGGATAATGTCCTCTTGTTGATTTTAAAGAGCTAAATATAAATTTTTGTATAACCATTATCTGTTCTTGATTTGCTTTAACTAGATTTAGCCAAATAATACAAATTATGAAATAATAGATAGCTATTTGGTTGTTAAAAAACCTCATTGATAATAGCAATCTGATGTAATTATATATATTTCCCTGTGCTTATCGGAACAGAACCAAAACCTGTATTGGTGTCCACGCACTTGATCACAAGTGCTTCATTGCTGTCTAGTTATTTATGGGTTGAGTGCATTGCCTTGCTCAGCCCAACTTGCTTATTGCATAATTTATGGCTCAAACTGGGCAAAGGTATAGGTAAATTCAGCACACAATGTACCCTAGGACCTATCATTTAACTTTAATGTCTGTCACAAAAGTGTCCTTTCCCTTTGGCAGAACCATATCTAATTGAAAATTCATTAAAATCTGTTGATGAGAGAGTCAGAGACTCAATAAATTAGCCAGGAAACAAGCTCAAAACGGGTATAGAACTCTCTCATTCACTTTAATTGATCAATTAAGTTGTGTATAATGAAATATAATGAAAAATTCATTGGTTAAGTTATCAAACTAAAGTAAGTGCATGTCAGCTTTGCGTGGCTATATAATATTCTATAATTACACGAGAACTACTATATATTTTACTGGTATTTCTCCTCTCGAGGTTAGTTCAGCCAATTAGTAGGGAGTATTTTTTCTGATGGCCAGCACTCTTCCTATATCGATTTCGTATAATGCCTTTGTTTTTAGGCATTGATGGTATCACAAGTTACTTTTGTTAAGTGCATAAAATAGATTTATCATGGTCAGGCCTTATAATGAAGGATACTTAAGGGAATTGCTGCAATCGGGTAATGCAGGAAATTGAATTTGTTTTGTAGCAAAAGCCAAAAGACCAAATGAGTAGGACAATTAAGGCATTATTTTATATACTTCATATATTTCCCGATATATATTTCTAATATTTCTATAGACAACCTTTAGTTGACAATCATTTTAGTTACGAAATTTCCGAAATTAGGGCAAGCCCTTTAAAATGAGTCTGACCTTTCCCAACACCATCTATACGTCCTGCAATCTCCACCTTCGAAATCCCCTCAAACATTAATAATAACAAACGCGGGGAGGCTGATTGCCGGAGAGACCGGCGCATGCTATAAACAATAAGCAAATGCTGGCAGCAACAAAAACGATAACGCTTAAACAAAACAACGGCGCCCAGCACGGCCAGCAGGCGGATTCGCTTGAGCAGACAAAATGCCCAAAGGCATTTGAGTGCGAAGAGCGTACACACACGGCGTCTAGAATATCACTCATACGACCCTGTGGCCAGTGTGGAATGAGCAAACGAGTGGAAAAATCATCATCACCGCCACCGAGAGTGAGTGTGAGTGTGAGTGCGATTCGAACGGCGAACGGCGAACTGCGAACACTAAACTTAGCCGGCGCTTACTTTAAACGCTCAGTTGCCGAGCGGCCCCAGAGTAAAGCGCAACGTCAGCCTTAGATTCCCAGGCTGGAAATTCTTATTCGGCGCGTTCCGTTGACGTTATTTTTTCCAATTAAACCGCATCTGTGAAATTGGAGCAGCAACAAGTGATGTGACATTCCCTGTGCGCCAGTGTACACAAATAAGCAAATCAAATAATTCCGCCTTAGAAGCGAGAAATACAAATTAAAGGAATTAAAGCAAGTGCCGCCCGTTACGCATTCGCCCCGTTGTCCAGGCGTGAATTTATAGATTTATTTTGTTGTAAAACGTTTGCTGCCTGGGATTTTGAACAGATTGCGAATTGTGTTTTGTGTACTTTTTAGTTTCGCCTTTATAGAAACATTAATACGGAAGGGAATTGATTCCGTGAAGCGGCGTGAGACCACAACAAGATGTCATTCGATATAGCCGTGGCCGATCAAATGCGCATAGCTCTTAAGTAAGTTCAATTACATATTAGTTGTAAATTAAGGAAATGTAATAGCTAGAATTTAATTCAGTTCAAAAACAAACAAAACAAAATGGGACCAAACTAGACCTCCATTTTAAAAAACTTGAAATGATTTATGCCTCTGATTCCTTAAATGATTCTTGCTAAGCATAAAGCATAAATAATGTTAAAAATTCGGTAACAAACAATGAAAATTGTATAAATAGAAATAAACATTTTATAAATAGAAAGTTATAAATAAATTAAAAGCAATATAAACACATAAAGTTCCTAAAACATTTCATAAAACCCTTGAGATTGCAAAGTTTCTACCAACTTGATAACAAATTCATATTTCTTCATTAACTTGCTTATTTCATCAGCATTAATTTTGTAAATATCAAATAATATTACTGATATCAAAACATTAACCATCTTCCAAGCTATTTTTAATGGTCCATCTGCTTGAGAAGCATTCATTGAGCCGGCTCCTTTTCAATCAATCAATAAGGTCAATTGAATATATATACTAGAGCACACACAACTTTCCATGGCCATACGTGTCTCAAGTTGAATTGACGCTCTGTCTGATAAGAGAAGTCCGGCCCCGCCAAGCCCAACCTCTTATCAGGCGATTACAGGCTGGCTGTGTTGAAATCCGGTTCACCGCTTGGGTCTTATAAATAGTCATAATATCAATGATAAGGTCTCGTTTCCAACAGGCCGCCGGCTTTGCATCCGCATCATTGGCATTGCTGATTACCGACATTAAATCCAAACGTCATCGATACAATGTCTCGCCGATTTTTGGCTATAAAAATCTGACTACAAAATGATCACCAGACATCTCGTCTGAACCTTGTACTGTCTCAGCATTACACATCAAATTTAAGAAGGTGCAAAATATTTAAAGCTAGCCACCAAGTTGATAACAAGGCAAAAGACTTCTTGTTGTTCCTACTGTTTGAGGTAATTATCAATTATTGATAAGGGTTTGAACTTAAAAGCAAATGGTCGTGTGCTGGCAGGACGGTCACTATTGGTGCGTCAGAACGTAGATTATTTTAGTGTTTTACTGCTTACCGATATAAATCATATGATCAGGCTTTAACTGACGGTTCTATCAGCTAAATTATGTGCGAAATCAAATACGCCTCGGCTGGTGACAAATGTTTAGTCACATAATTATCTCTCTTTAAAAGGTTATTTAACAAAGAATCACGTTTTGGCAAATGTCAAGGCAATTACACCAAGTTGCAGACTCAGCACAAAAGTTTTGGCTTCAACAATAATAAAAAAGACTTGACAAAAGGCTGAAAAAGAAGTCAAGCGAAGAAGTCAAGCAAGGTTAACAAGAAGCTAAAAAGTTAGTTTCGATCTATGCAAATTATTTAGCATTTCGATCGACAAACTTTAACTTTAGCTTATTTGCTACAATTTTTCATTTCGTAAAATGTAAATTGACAATTGACAATGGAAAACAATTTGAATATAATTATTCCTCATATATATATTTGCTGACTAATTCTTTAATTCGCTCAGCTAGAAATTGTGGTAAATAAATTTCTAAGCCTTTTGTCAATAGCTTAAATTGTTTTCGGAAAAAAATATTAAATGAAAAATAAATACAACAAGTGCTTATGCTGTTGATTTCCAGCATCTCTTTTCACATGAATGGTTGAATTTGATAGATTGAAAAATATGCAACATTATACTTTACTTATTTCTCTTTCTTTCTTTTTTTGTTGTGTTGGGCGGGAAAATAATATTGAATATTGAATGCACTCAAGCAAAATGCCATTGACCTGCATGCAGCGCTTTGATGCATGCCAATATTGATTGATTTTGCCGAAATTTTCCATTTTCATTTCCATTTCACAGCCCAAACGTATTTTAATCTGTAAATATTTTGAATTGCCCAGTGAACAGTTTATTTTCTTTAAAAAATATATAAATACAAACAGAGGCACGAGCAATTATGTTTTGAAATGGACTGGGGGAAAGTATTGACTTTGAATTTCCTTAATTTGTTTAATTTGATGCAGAGACCATTTCTTTCCTCACCGTTTACCATATGAATTCAGATCGTTCTAGACTATTATTGTTAATGCTATATAAATTATTTAATTAACTTTCCATAGCCTAGAAGAAACAAGTTCTCCTTCTAGAACTGTGTGTAGGTTAAAAACTGGATCTTAGGGCCTGACCTCGGAAAAGTGGAAACTGTAATTAGCACTTGATATCTAATAGATCACACCAATGCATCTCTCGCAAAAAAAGATTTCTACTGGAATCCCCAACCCCTCAAGGCCGTTGAAACGCCACAAAAGTAGACACTGGGCAGCTGTTAATTGATCGTTGCCTCTGTTTACTGCCCGTAGACTCGTTTGCTCTCATGATTTGTGGTCATCATACTCGACTCGAGCGTGTCCGAGCATTCCGTCTTCTTTATTCGATTCCATTTCAGTTTTTACTATGTATGCCGGACTACGGGTCCGGGGCATTTATGAGTTCTTCTACGCGGCGGGTCTGTTGTGGATCGGCTCACGCGTCGTTTGGAGCGCACGTTCCCACATGGAAACGCACTTGAAATCTAAATGGGCCACGCCTCCTTGGGTATATGGTATTTCCGATAATCCACGGTGCACCCAGTAAAATCTAAATGGAGTCTAGGCTGTCAAGGTTCCCTCGCGAGGGGATAGATTGCGGTTTAAGCAAGTGAAATTACTATTTATAGTTACATTTTTTGATGCTTCATAATTTATGTTAAAGAAAAAATAGAATATTAACGATCCATATCATTTCTAAGGAAATTTCTCACAGAAATTAAGATAACTAACAGTTTAGGATATATTTCACTTAGCTTATCGCTTATTATTTGAATACTATTATCTAAGATTTCTATAATATATATATAATATATTTGATATATAATCTTGTAATATCTGAGCCCATAAATTGTTCCCAATTTCACAGAAAAAGATATAATATCCACAAATCAAACCAAGAATTCCCTTGAAATAAGATATGTATAACTTACATCTTATTTCTTAGCTCCCATATATCAGTTTCAATTATAAGTTTCTCAAGGGTTTCTACAGGGCATCAAAAGACTCTCCACATCGCATTCCCATTCTATTTCCACTATTGGCTATTTATACCCTCGTTTTGTTTACGCGCTAATTGAAAATTCGCAAAAAAAAAAGAAATACTAGAAAACCTGCCGTAAAACGGCGAGTATTTGTTTACAAACATCGACAGCAAAACTGCCAAACACTCGGAGGGGTGCTCCTCCCAGTAAAAATGAAGTGTTTCTGACCCTGCCACATCCCAAATCTTATTGCAGCTATGTGAAGTTCAAGACTAACCAGCAGCGCCTGCGCAGCAATGACAAGGTCATCGCCGACACGATCTACGGGAAGATCAAGGGGGTGAAATGGCAATCGATTTATGGCAACAACTACTACAGCTTCGAGGGAATCCCCTTTGCCAAGCCCCCGCTGGGCGAACTCCGTTTCAAGGCACCCGTGGAGCCCGATCACTGGTCCGAGGTGAGGCGTTGCACCCGGGTCCGCTCCAAGCCCTGTCAGGTGAACATTGTGCTCAAACAGGTGCAGGGCAGTGAGGATTGCCTGTATCTCAATGTGTATACCAGAGAGGTGAGTCGCATAAATATTAGTCACTTTTTTAGGATCATATTCAATCCTATTTAAGTTCAAACTAGCAGCAAATTACTTTTCCAAATTTTCTAGTTATTTAAATTTAACGATAAGATCAAAAGCACAATATGTTGTTCAAACCAATTGGTCAATTAGCTGACTCGTTGACAGGTGTTAACAAACAACTTTTTTTATTGGCCCTTTGAGTCGAGTTCTTATTACTCACAGTAAAAAAAAAGGTTAATAAATTCGAGATAAAAAAAATCGTTAAAATTAATTTAACTTCAAGTCGGAAATTGCTTCTGAAGTTTATTTTAAAGTGTAGTAACTTTTAAGTACTATTACATCCTTGATATTCATCACAACTTTAAGTACTGATTTATTTAAAAGACATTTTCTTTATATTTTTATATTCTAAACTGGTTTTTGTATCTTTCAGTTACATCCTCATAGACCTTTACCGGTTTTGGTCTGGATTTATGGCGGTGGCTTCCAAATGGGCGAAGCCTCAAGGGATCTGTACAGTCCCGACTATATAATGATGGAGCATGTGGTCCTGGTGGTCATATCCTACCGGCTTGGAGCCCTGGGTTTCCTTAGCCTTGAGGACGAAGAGCTAGATGTTCCGGGAAATGCAGGCTTGAAGGATCAGGTGATGGCCTTGCGCTGGGTGAAGAAAAATTGTCACTTCTTTGGCGGTGATCCGGAAAATATAACCATCTTTGGAGAGAGTGCAGGTGGGGCCTCCACACACTACATGATGCTGACGGATCAGGCCAGGGGACTCTTCCACAAGACCGTGATCATGTCGGGTTCGGCTCTGGCGCCCTGGGCCCAGACCCCTACTCACATTAACTGGGCCTATCGCCTGGCCCAGGCCACTGGATACACGGGTGAGCCGAACGATAGAGAGATATTTGCCCATCTCAAGAAATGCAAGGCAAGCACCATGCTTAAAGTAGCCGAGGATATTATTACCATGGAGGAGCGCCATCAGCGCTTGACCATGTTTTGCTTTGGACCCACCATCGAACCCTATCAAACACCACACTGTGTCATTCCAAAGTCACCACTCGAGATGATGCGTGATTGTTGGGGCAACAACATTCCCATGGTCATTGGTGGCAACTCCTTCGAGGGTCTATTGATGTTTCCCGAGGTTAACAAGTGGCCCGAGTTACTCTGTGAGTTGGGTGAATGCGAGAACCTGGCTCCTGCGGATGCTCATCCAGATAAGGAGCAGAGAATATCCTTTGGCAAACGAGTGCGTGAGGCATATTTTGGTGATAGAATGCCCAGCAGAAAGACCATTTTGGAATACAGTGATGTGAGTTTGTATTATTTTTATAGCTTCCTTTGAACTTGCATTAAAATCACTTAATTACTCAACACTTAATAATATTTATTGCATGAGCTTACATTGACCCTAGGCTGCATACAGTAATTGTTGCACTTAATAAAGTAATTAATAAATTTAATGCCTTTTGATCTAAAGCCATATAGATTGAACTTTTCTTAACCTGATTTTATTCCCCCATTTCAGCTCTTCTCATACAAATACTTTTGGCATGGCATCCATCGGACCCTGCTCTCCCGTGTCCACCACGCTCCGCGGGCTCCAACTTTCCTGTACCGCTTTGACTTTGACTCCAAGCACTTTAACATTATGCGAATTATCACCTGTGGTCGCAAGGTGCGCGGCACCTGTCACGCCGATGACCTTTCCTACTTGTTCTACAATGCCGCAGCCAAGAAACTCAAACGTCGCACGGCCGAGTTTAAAACAATACGACGTTTGGTCTCAATGATTGTCCAGTTTGCCATCTGCGGGGATCCCAATATACCGATGGTCACCCACGATGAGAAGTTGGCCCATCAGGGAGCATGGCTTCCCATCTCGCGGGAGGATGCGGTATTCAAGTGTCTGAATATATCACACGACGTGCAGGTTATGGATTTGCCAGAGGCCGAGAAGCTCCGACTGTGGGACAGCATCTACGAGAAAAGACTTCTCTATTGAAGGGCACTTCAGTACAATCTCCGTGTGTATCCTTGGTAGCAATTCCCCCATTTAGCCTTAGCAATGCAGCAATATTTAGCCATAGATTTAGACCCTAAGCTGGCCCTGAGGTGGCCTTAAAAGCACATCAAATGTACACATGTAAATAGCGATTTTTTAAAGCTTAGCCGTAAGAGTAAATACAGAAAAAAAATATATAAATACAAATATGAGGGGTTGTTGCAGATTTTTTTTACATAAAAACTGGCTAACCAAAAGCCAAAGGCGGAATTATTTTTATATGCGTGAATTTAAAGCGTGGGATTTTTTTTTATTAAACCAAAAACGGCTTTAAAATGATATTTTTCTGATTTTAATAAAGGAGTTGGAATATTATACATCAACTACATTTGAATAAAAATACATTCTGATATTTAAATGTATAAAGGTTTCTCTGCTTTATTGATGTAAAAGGATGATACAATGTTTATTAAACTTTTTTACAGGCATTTAAAAGCTGATAGCTCTGTAATATAATATCTTAATATTTATTGTTTCAAAAGTGGCTAAATAAAAACAAAGCATACTAATTCCCCTACAAAGCCATTGATAGGATAACGAATGGTATGTATATATATTTTTTCTAAAATCAGGCTTAGGACATTAATCCTTGCGGAAGCCTATCCATAAAGTATGCAGCATATTGTGTTATTAAAAATACTTAAACACTCAAACATGACAATATTAACACCTGTACACACGCACACAGACGATACCTGCTGTCATGTGACAAAACCAAAAGCCCGCGCACAGCTGTCCCCAAATATATATAGATATATATATATCTGTATATGAAAATATATATATACACGTGTATGTACCGCCCCTTCAGGCCCTGTTGTCCTTGTGTGTTTGTGTCTGTGGCAACTTCAAAAGACCGCTAAAACACACAATGCACATACATAGGGGAAGCCCCTGTTGTTAACCTGCTGAACCTCTAACGTTTTCCACCCACACAACCCACAGCCATTAATTGTAATTAAAAACTTACACGTGCTTCCAAATTTACTGAGCTCGGTTGCTTTGACTTCCGTTGACCTTTGCCCGACAGCGGGATTTTCTTTTTTTTTGAGGTAATTTTTTTTTCCTTTTGTTTATGTGGTTATTTTGTAATTATTATTTACAGGTGCTTAGCAAATTTGGTGGAAATTCTCGGGGCAATTTTTTTGGGGCTCACTGAATATCAGATGAATATTTTTCGCGGGGCCACAAAGTATGCAATGTTTTTTTGGTTGGGTAATGTTTGTAGTCCAACGATTTCAGGGATTATTTCTTTGTTTATAGGTGTACATGTGTAGATGAGATATGAATTTCACCAGTCTTGCGATCGTTTACTATATTAATGATGAAATTTGTCAATTTATAGGATCAAATTTGGGTATTTGGCTGTCATTGCTGATTAGATATTAATTGGTGTTGCCATGAGGTTAGTTTTTCACAAAGTTTATGGTTAAACAAGTGTATTAATTTATTTCAAATTAATCTGTTTCCTAAAGTTTACTCTGTTTCTGAAATCTCCTATTTTTGGTTCAGCAAAATCTTCTTATTAGTTTGAGAACAATTCATATTCCGCAGAGTTTGGACGTAATTACTTCGACACACCAGGATCTTTTTTCCACAAAAATATTATTATTAATATATTAAAATATTTATTAAATATATAAAAAATACCTTTTCCTTTTCAAAGTCACCAAAGAATCTTTTAGTTCGCTTCAGTTGCCATTTGAAGATACTATCTTCCGTTAATAACTTCACCCAACTACAACCATTTGAATTTTTCATCCTTGAAAGTGTTAAATGTTTGTTTTGTTTTTTGCTGGAATTTTTAAAATCACAGACAATAGTTTTCAGTCACGTGCAGAGACCCAAGCAATGGAATTGGGACTTTGATGGTCTGGGGAAATACCCAACACCGGGTTCTCCCCCAATTATCCTTACTGGTGGAAAAACACAAACAAGGACGCATGTTAACCGTGCATTGTAATCAAGTCACGAAATGGCATGGAAAAGTCACGCGAGCAGTCGGAAAATTATGACTTCTTCAGGAAAAGGAACCCCAATGGAAAAGGAGGGGTGTGTGGAAATGAGGTTCGCTTTGATTTGATGCGTCTTTGAAAAATTCATGAGGCAATTGTTGCGCGGCGCGAAATGCTCATGATTATCATGTGCGAGTTGAACCGCTGAACTGGCACGTTGTTTCGATTCCAACTCCTGGACATTTGATATTCCATTTACATTTCCTTAGCCAAGTTTTGTGGCGGGAAAAGCGCGGGAACTTAAGTAAGCAGATTTGCCAGAAATGAATTTTTGATTCATTGGAACTTTCACTTTCGGGAAAAGCATTTACTCACTGACCCAAATTCTTGGTTATAAAGATGAGATAAACATTTTTGTTGCACAGGAAAAAATTATATAGTTGGAAATTAGAAAGAAAGGAAGGATATATTAATATTCATTAACATATTTTCTAATATTTATCACCTTGAATTAATTTGTATCTTTAATATTCAATTGAATTATAGTTCTTGCTTTTACTAATTATAAATTCCAGTTTTCTTCGGTGTGTATTTAACGTACCCAAGGTAAACATCAGAAAATTCGGAAAACAACAGATGGACAAAGTAAAGACCCCCTGAAGCATATTCCAAAATGGCAAACTTTTTGCTATTATTAATACATTTTCCGTTTCTGCTGATTGGTTTAGTTGGGTTTAATCAAAACCATTTAAAATCTAACAATGTGCGACAATGTGGACGGCCTGACAATGCCAGAAATAGTCGTTGCTGACTGTGTGTGTTTGCACAAAAAAAAGTAAGCGACAACTTACTTAAATTGATTTAAATGAATTAGAGAAGCACTCGTACATATAGCGGAAAAACGTGCCAGTACCAGAGCACGCGATCGCTCTCAGAGATACGTTCAAAGAGAGCACTCCATCCGCAGATGGAGCATAATACTATAATAATACTATATGGAATGAGATCGGATTCAAAAGCTCTATCTGCGGAGAGCGCATGGCAACATAAGCGCCAAAAGTCACGAGAGTTTATATTACCCCTCAGCCAAGGTTATTTATTTAGCATATCATAAATATAAACAAATCTGTAGACTGTAGCATACACTGAGCAAAATAATGACTTTAGAATTATGTTGAGTTAAGTCCAAGTACCTAGAAATATTTTTGATAGCTATTTTTTAGTACCTAATAGTTCTTAAAATATTTTAAAGAAATTTTTGGCTGTCTGAGACTAGAAGAAAATAAAGGAAACTTCAAAATATGATATCTTTTATAAGGTTAATTCACAAATATAACAGAAAATATAAAGTTAGATACTTGATAGATCTTTATTAGACTAAAACAAAGTGCTACTATGAATAATATATCAATTTGGATGGATTATTTTCCCCTCAATTAGTAAGCATCCTTTTCTTTATGTGTACCCATTTATTTGCTTAATCCAACCCATAATTTGATTAGGTGTAATCTTCGCTGATTCCAGCTGGAGTCGGTTGCGTGTCAAGCTACAACTGAAAACTGGAACTGACCATAACTAGAGCCACTTTGCTTGGGGCAGACCAAATCGAATAAAAAGCAACTATAGAAATCAAAATAAGTTTAGCTGTTAAAAGCTGACGAACTGAAAAGCTCTCTGCCACTGCTTATTTTTGGCTTTTTGGTTGCAAAGAGTGCTTTTCAGCAGCAACAGGAGGCAGGTCTCCGAGTCCTTCAGTCAGCTGAGTTGGTCCTGCCCCCATTTATTTAGCTTTCTCAGCCTTCCTTTTGTTTACTTTGCCACGTGTGGTTTTTGGGCCCCAGCAACAAGAATGTGAAAAGTGCCTGAGACACGTTTCTAAGGAATGACTTTATCCGAGGCAATGTGAATTTCCTGGTATACACAAAAATTTTATGGAGGAAGATTTATAAAAGTGGTGAAGGAACTGCTAGGAGAGGGCATAATATAATATACATAAATATACATATATAATAATGTTTAACTATAGTAGGAAAAACCTTTGAAGAAAGCCTCAGTAACCGGAAAATGTATCTAATAAGATTTTATTATTTATTAAAAGAATTTTATTATGATTTTTCTACATATGTATATTTTAATAATATTTCCATAAGGTTAATAAAAATTAAACACTCACAATCTTTTAGTATTGATGAAAAAATAGCTCCAGTAATATTGATCGTTACTTTAAGAAATTGTCTTTATTACATTTCCTTTTAATAATTTTTTTCCGACTTTATCTGAATAACAAGAAAGTATACCTCTTTAGAAATAAAATATGAAATGAATTTATTTTAATTTACGTAAGAACAGTAAATGAATTTGTAATATTTCTTATTTATTATTTAGAACTTATTTATTTAGTCTTAATAACATTTTGATAAAACATTATATGCAGAAACTGAAAAACCTATAATTTATGATTATGTTTAATGTTTACATAATCTTTCTTATTAAACTTTATAGTTGTTTTCTTTTTTTGGGAAATCCCATATAATGTGTCCCGATTACACAGCTTCCTAGAAGAGGGCCTAGCGATAAGAATGTGACTCACTCCCAAAATCGATTCCACGCGATTCCTTATCAAACCATGAGTGGGCCCATAAAGATTATAATACCGCATGACACCTCCATCAAACAAAAAAGAACCAACCGAAAAATTATTGTCGAATCAGTGAAATCACAACTTGTTAGTCCCCTCCCTCCAAACCCCCTACTTTTTGCAGTGCAAATCAATACGATTATTGTTATCGGGGGGGGACAGTGATAAAGTGGATATGTGGCGGCAGGACAAAGTCGAGTAATGTGCCTCGTAATGGGACGCGTGAGTCAGCTTGCTGGAAAATGCCTCCTCCGGCCACATAATTGTGACACTTCAGAGTTATAGATAAGGTTGTTCCCCTACAACCTCTTCTCTGCTCATAAGGGGTAAGTATCTTCCATATTGGCGGCAGAAACGAAACGCTTTCGATGCTACGAAAGCTTTTTGCCACGCTTAGAACTTTTTTCGTGCTTTGGCGGGCAGTTGACGAGCTGCCTTCACGCCAAGCGGACGCGTAACGGGGCAAAACACAAAATATATAAAAAATACCCATAGTTTGTTGATAATCCAGTGCTATATATACCACACCGGCAGTCATAGTGATTTAAACAATTTCAACAAAAAAAACAACTAATTTTAAAATTTCGCTTTGCGAGCAAAGTATGTGATAATTGGACGTTTTTTTCGCTTCCTGCGTTTTGATTTTCCATCGTGGTGCTTTTCACGCGTGTGCTTAGTGCGTGTTTTATTGTGCTTGTGTTGGTGCGCAGGACATAAAAGCTTCGTTTTGTTGATACACGCACTCCTGGCAAGGCCATCGAACAGCTGGCAGTTCCTCAACTCGATTAAACATACAAAGAAAACCCAAAACTAATCAAAATCCAAACTAAAATCACAATCAAAACAAGTTTTATAGTTGAATTTAAAAAAAAAAAATTATATATACTTATAAAAATCCCACCGCTGCCACTCCTGCCCTTCTTTATAGACAAAATAATTTAAAAATAATAAATTGTCGGCTACTTTGCTGATTGAATTCAAGCCGTTGTTGGGACAGTGAGAACGAGAGGAAAACAACCACAAAATGTCTTCCATGGCTGCCTTTGATCAGTTCAAAATTGGACTCAAGTAAGTTGATGACCATAATCGTTTTATGAGAGATATTTACGGGGGAAAATTAGTATATGTCAGTTAAGCCTTTCCCTTTTCGAGTTAGCGGACAATTTTTGCATTGCAATTACTTTAAAAACGTTTAATTTGCTTTTGAAAATCATTCCAATTGTCCCCAGGCACATGACATCAGCGCATTGTGTCATCCCAACTTAGGCTCACTCTTTATAATTAAACAGCACACCTCTCGGTCTATATAGTGTTCTTGTTAAATTGTAACTGACAAAATATATGCACTGTGATTTATGCCCGGAACTTGAGAATTATATTTCTTTTAATTCCGAGTAACTCCTCCTATCAATCGATAAGCATTTCCTTGGAGCAACAAGAAACCATTTACGTCAACAATTCCCCAAAGACAATATTTATGCTTGGCAAATACCATTTTTTATATGCTTTTTTTTTATGCACAGCTGGGGAGCCCTGAAATTGCTTTAGTATTTCGAAGCAGATGTTTACAATGTCCTACCCTTAGGGATAGATAGCCTGTCCTTGTGGGAAACACGCATACATATTTAATTATGTACAAGTCAACGTCAACAACAAAGAAGCAAACGGACAGGTGGGCGGGTGTTGTGGAGCGTAGGAAAAAAATTTCCCAGAAAATGACGTAGGAATAGTGCAAACAAACATACCTTAAAATAATATTACACATTTATTTCTCTGTACTCCGAAGAAGAGGGGGAAAACCTTTATGAATATGGAAATATGTATATTATATGAATATCATTTAATTTTAATGGTAATTTAAAGGTATTTCTTAAAAATCTGAATGAATCAACTGAATAAAATACATTGTTACTTTATAAAGTGTTAGTAAAGTACAGTAAATTTCATTTACAATCAGAATTTAGTGACTTTCTTCTTGTCTCCCTTCACCACAGGTGGGTTATTGCTCCTTTCAGGGGATTTGCTTCTTTTGATCTTAGTTCGTCTTCCCAATGAGCAAACATAGATACACATAGACATAAAGCAGCTGTCATTATGGATCCGCTTGGGGTCTTTGCCTCATTTGTTCACTCACTCTCTCTTTGTTGTTTGAGGCCTTTTTTGCCGACACTTAAACTGCGCAAATAATTAGGTAGCAAAACTAGAATAGAACCCCGCCTCACTCCGCAGATGGCTGCGGGATATATGTAAATTATGGTTATTGTGTAAACCATAGTAAGTCCCGCAAGGGCTGACTCACATTTTGGCCTGGTGTGTGCAAAAAAAATAAACGAGTGTTTGGCAAAAGAGAGGGGAAAAATGTTGTATGAGATCAGCTTGGTTATGGTTTCGGCAACCAATATACTTTTCGATTTTCACTTTTGCGGCCTCTGTAATTATTTGATATTTCGTGTAAGCGATAAACTTTGGTGACAACTTTTATGATTTTATTTCATATATATATAGCAATTTTAATACAAAATATATTTCATGTTTATATAAAATAAAAAGTATTTCCATTGATATGCCTGTCTATTTGTGCACTTTAATGACGCAATATCATGAACAATTTTTTATATAAAACATTTCAATTTTGCATTCATTTGCATATTTCAATGGGTATTTTTTCTGATTTATGCCAACGAAACGGTTTGAAATGAATGAATTCACACAGCCCACGTTCAATCATTTTATATTTTTATTTTTACATATATGAATTGTCAATTTCACGTACAATGTATGTATATTCGATTTCTGTTCAATAAATTGGTTGCTGTTAAAGCCTAAACTTAAATTTGGCAATTCTCAAATTGTAATTTATTGACTGAAATCAATTTAAGTCATTGGTTTTGATCAATTGACACAGCAAATTCATCGCTGGGCATTCAATTAACCTTCAATTTCCATACAATCTCTGCTGGGAATTCTTGGAGCTACGGGGCACGTGCAAATATTTCTTTATGTCGTATACAAATATATCTTGGAAATTCTTTGTCCAACGATCTGGTATTCACCAGATAAATCTCGTTTGAAGTGGTTTTGATTCAGATTTTCTTGATTTTACTACCTATTTTTTAAAACAAAATATATAAATAACGAACAATGAGTTATTAAATTTTTCAAAAAATTAAAATCCCCCAGAACCCAGTCTTCCTTTCTCTATAAATCTACAGAACCTTTGCATTTCATGTCTCGGTCTTGGCTCCAAATTTTCAATACTACTTTTTGGGTGTCCTTTGTGTATAAAAACCACAGCTCATTACACTTTAATCCTCAATTTCTCGCTGAACTTATACATACATGACATCCAATTAGAGTGGAATACAGTTGAAAACTCACAGAAAAACAGTCAAGAAACCAAATCAAAAGTACTAAGAACAATTGAAGATGCTATTAGCCCGCTTAGCTCATGTGCTGCCAGGACGATCACTGCGCCTTCTGGGCCAGAGTGGAGGTCCTCGCCTCTGGAGCTCCGCCCAGAACTCAATCAAATCTAAACTCCCGACAATGCCATCTTTGGGTAGTGGAAAGTCTCTGCTGCCAAAGAGAGACCTGCAGGCACTGAAGATGAGGAAATATTCACGAGAGCCAGGGGATCGTGATCGTTCTCAACTGGAGAGCCGAACCAGAGGACCCTCGCTCAAGGATCGCATGATGGGTCCGCCCAGTGAGAATGCCTACTCCATGGGCAAGGGAGCAGCGGCTGGAGCAGCTCTCATGGGTCTGGTGGGTCTGTGCTACTACGGACTGGGTCTGGCCAAGCAGCCTAGCATCTACGATCACTCGGTGGTGTGGCCCCAGTATGTGAGGGATCGCATCCATGCCACTTATGCCTACTTTGGGGCATCCTGCGCCCTGACAGCAGCCTCTTCGGCGGCCATTTTCCAATCGGACGCCATGATGGCCATGTTGACGCGCTCCGGTTGGATCGCCAGCCTGATCACCTTGGGCGTGGTGATGCTGAGCGGTGCCCTGGCCCAGAGTATTGAGTATCAACCCGGTTTTGGGCCCAAACAACTGGCCTGGGCTGTCCACTGTGCCGTCCTTGGAGCAGTCCTGGCGCCCATGTGCCTACTGGGTGGTCCCATCCTAATCAAGGCCTTGATGTACACCGGTGGCGTTGTGGGCGCATTGTCCACGGTGGCCTATTGCGCTCCCAGCGAGAAATTCCTGCACATGGGTGGACCCTTGGCCATTGGCCTTGGAATTGTCTTTGCCTCTTCGCTGGCCTCCATGTGGCTGCCGCCCACGACAGCTGTGGGTGCAGGACTGGCCAGCATGTCCCTGTATGGCGGATTGATCCTGTTCAGTGGCTTTCTTTTATACGATACCCAAAGGATCGTGAAGTCGGCAGAGCACCATCCGCAAAATAGCAGCACTCTCTTCGATCCCATCAATCATGCCATGGCTATTTATATGGATGCGTTGAATATCTTTATACGCATCGCCATTATTTTGGCAGGACAAGATCAGAAGAGAAAGTAGGAGGAAACAGGATTTAAGGGTTAACTTTAGGTCTCTTTATAAGCAAAGTGTTTGAAAATTATTTGAGGAAGGATTAGACAAGGCAGAGAGATGTGGCAAGTGTAAAGGCAAATTCATAATGGAACTGAGTGGAATTCATTCGTAAATTTATTCAATAATTACAAGTATAAGACTATTGAATTACAGAAAGATAATAATATTAAATAGTACAGAAGATTTAACATTGTTTTTCTGAGAGAAAGTTCTTGAAAAATGTTTTTAAATTGGACATAAACTTGCAGAGAACTATATTATCGCTAATGTCCATATATATCTTACCCCAAATTACATTGATTTAGACCTAGAGACCTAATTTCTACCTAATCTTTAGTCAGCTGCTGTTGTCTCTTCAAAAACTATTTATTGTTTTAAGATTTCTTTAAAATTAAGCATTTTCTTTTATTTCGTATGCTTTATTTCTGACATTGCGCATACGACGGGTATGACCGCGGCATAGAAAATTTCATTTTGTGAAATTTTTGTCGCTAGCATTTTGTGGTCGCCTTCTATCTGCCGCCCACACACACACACACACACACACACACACTCGCAGACACACACACACCAGCTTGTCAATTTCATTTAATTTTGCCGCATTTTCTTTCTCTTTTATTTTGTTCTTTTTTCCCTCCGAAAGCTTTTGTGTGGCGAAAATAATTTTTTTAAATGAATAAAGAATGAAAGAATTGCCGCGAGAAGTGCAAACATTCTGATAAATGTATATATATACCTAATATATAATGTAGGGGACTTTTTTCAATGAATGAGTTTAAATTTTAGCGCATTAAATCAGCTGCGAGTTGTTCGTTAAATACATTTACCCTATTAGGGTTAATAAAGTCCAAAATGTGTGATTCGATTATAATCAAATATAATTTGAATGAGTGATTTAAACATTAGATGATAATGTCTAAGAGATCTTAATGTCATATTGATATATATTCTTGATTAATGATATTTTTGTTATCATATAAATTCTCCCTAAACATATACCAAACATTTCTTTATTCCTTATTCTTTTTATTAGTTACATTTATGGTTTTAAAATTGTTGCAAGTTTTGTTTACATTTAATTGTCCTTCAGCTAACTCCTTGACCTGCTCCCAGCTAGACTATCCCTTTCCCCATCATAATATCCTTGTCCCAATTGTAAGCTTTTGGCCTCCTAACCGACTCTGTTTCATTCATGGCGCCCAAGCTTTCATTCTGGGAAGCTTTTGCAGCCTTGCCAAGGTCGACAAGAGCTCCCTAGATGGCCATGTAAAGTGTCCACAAATAGATGCCAAGTTTTTATGGCCAAGATTTCGAGACGGAAATAAAATTATCGCTGGTTTTATGCGACCGGTAATCATAATTCCCCCTGTGTGTGTTTTGTGTCATCATTTTTTGAGAAACTAACTTGACCATGACTCGTTGGCTGCGTGTGTGAGTCTTTTCAGACAATATTTGATGTTTGTCCAGATTATACGTTCTATATTTTCTTCTATCGCGTGCCGGACCTGTACTGCGTCTGACTGATAACATTGTCGCCTTGTGTGCGGAAAATTTATTGATTAAACTGTGACATAAGCCAGACTTATCTCCGACTCCCGAGTGCATGAAAACCCAAGTCAGCGTTCTTAAAGCTAGTCTCAAGGAATTGCTCTATCAGGAGATAGGTATCATAGGCTTTTGTTTTTTTTTGTCTAGGTAATCTTAATTATTTATTTTGCCTATTGCTAAGCCAGAAATTATGTTTAATAGTTCGAAATAAAAATATATATATACCTAGAATTCACTTTTAAAGAGCAATTTAAATAGTATTTATTAAATTTTAGCAAAATACGTGAGGTATACTTAGTTCTTATACAAAAACCACCAATTAATATTATTTATGAATGGTACATTTTCACATATTTTTAAAGCGGATAAAAACCATCCTTTTTTCGAAAAATTGCTTATATATTTTTTTACAATTATCTGAAATCTTTTGTTTTTTTATTAAATATATACTCCAAAGTTTATTTGCCTTTAAGTCTGTGGTATTTGTTCGTTGCTCTTTTTGGTACTGCTGTCGTCACTTGTTGCTAATAAGCAGCCGAATATTTTCCTTCTTAGTGTAAGCAAAAAATCTCTTTGTTTATTTTGCTTTAAATTTATCGCCATAGCAGCCAAAAATAACACATAAATCAGTTGGGACACACAAGATCATTTAGCAGATACATTCTCTCCCTCAACTGAGGAAATAGAAACGGAACATCAAAATGTTTAGCAGCAGCAAATTCAAGGCTGTAATATTCCAATTCGTTTGTTTATTTTTTGTTTAATAAAAATAAAAATTAACCATGGCTCCCGTGAGCTTTTCATGTTTCCAAAAATTGTTCACTGGTGGTCAGTGGGTGCGTTCCAGGACCTCCAATTGGGAAATAGGCTTGCCGCACGCAAGCCTCATATTAGGACACAATCTTTTAATGGCCAAGGCAGACCCGTCATAAACATTCTTTTTATTGACTTTCCTTCTTTTTTTTTATATAGGTGCCAAGCATTAGCTTAAGCGCTCCTTTCCCATTTAAGTTTACCAAGGCAAAGTTCAAGGCCAAGGCTTTATAGTATACAATTCCGCTCAAATTGCTCCGGATGTATTATTCACATCATGCGTTTGGGGGGCTTTGGCTACCATCTTGGCCGAAAAATGGGCAAACAGCTCATTTTGGCTATTAATAAACATAAATTTTGATATATTTCGGTGCCCTTGGGCTGGCCCCAGCTGCTGATGACATTTGCAAACAACGGCAAACTGGCTAAAACAAAAAGAGAGATATAGCCGGGTTTTATTCTTTATCTCCGCTCTCTCCGACAAATTGGAACTTATGTACGAATTAATTAAAAGTTATAACACGTTTTCGTTGGCGGAGTGAGCTCACAAAAGCCATCGAAACTATTCTGCTTTGCTTCATTCAATCGAAAAATGGAAATAATGACAGGAACGATTTTATTTTGTGTACATGACTTGGCCATTATGGCAAGGCGATAAACAAAGGCCTCCTCTGTACATTTTGGAAGGAAGTGCGAGTGTTTTTGATTCGCACTCTTGTGAAATTCGAAAAAAAAAACATTTTTGGACACCTTATCACCCCACGAGAATTTTATTTATACAATTAAAAATATCACCTTAGTTTATATAGGTTAAAAATCTCACCTCTGTTTATATAGGTTAAGAAACATGGCACCTTAATCTATTTTTAAAATAATTAATCTGTAAACATTTAGCGTAGTTTTGATTGCTTTGCCAAAACTCAAAAGCTAGGTGAATATTTTTAGGCAATTTAGAGTATATAGCCCTATAAAAACAGATATTATTCACCAATGGAATATCTGTTAACAAAAGTGTACATTTTATAATAATCTTTTTGTAAGCATTTTGCTTTCGACTTTGCTCTTGAACTTGCGCTGCTTGGCAGTTGAAGGACTCTTTGCTTAGCTATTTATATATTTATATATAAATGAAAATAAAACCACTCTGAGCATTTCACCCAGTTACGATTGCCTTGCCGCAGGTTTAATACACTTTTCAATGGCCTTCGCCCTTGATTTTCTACACTTGAAGTTGAACGACTTACACAACTCAAAAAATTACCCGAATTTTGTTTAGTTTGCGGTTTGTTTATCTTTTGATACCACAGCGCGTTGGATTTTTTGTTCTTTTTTTTCTGTTTGAACGCTACTCAGAATAAATAAGCCGAAAACAAAAAATCATAGACAAAAAATAACTGAAAAAAAAATATTGCGAATCGCAGGGAATCAAGAGTGAAAAGTGAAGAGTGGAATGGGCTGCGATAAATGGCGCACACCTGGCCCACGGGCCGGGAGCTGATAAAAAATTAACGTTATCAGCAAAACGTTAAGCGGAAAAGACACTCCCATCAATATCAGTGAAGCTGACGTCGTTTATTGTCTCTGATTAATGGCGGCAAATACTTTTTTTTCACTGATTGGGCTTAGATCCTGGGGTAGGGGTATCAATTCTTAATACCTAAAGACTTCTAAATCCTTTATCTACTTTGCTTTTTCTCCCTTAGAATGGTTGACTTCAAGGTCCAGCAACGGCGATATAGGACCAGCGAAAAGACTGTCGTCAGTACCACCTATGGTCCCATTAAAGGCGTCAAGCGAAAGTCCATCTATGGCCAGTCCTACTTCAGTTTCGAGCGTATTCCCTTTGCCAAGCCACCTATCGGAGAGTTGCGCTACAAGGCCCCTCAGCCTCCAGAGGTCTGGACGGAGGTGAAGAGTTGCACCTCTCAGGGACCAAAGCCCCTGCAAAAGCACTTTGTCTTCGAGATGACCGATGGCTCCGAGGACTGCCTCTACCTCAATGTCTACACAAAGAATGTGAGTTTAATGTTTAATGAGTTTGAGATTGTTTCTTTATATATTTTTTAATTTTAATCTTAGTTATATCCCACCAAACCAATGCCTGTGATGGTCTGGATCTATGGCGGTGGATTTCAGTTTGGCGAAGCCTCAAGGGAATGCTATAGTCCTGATTACCTGCTGCGCGAAGATGTAGTAGTTATTTCTATAAACTATAGATTAGGACCCTTGGGTGAGTCTTTAATTAACACTTCAACACAACGTAGTTCTAATTTAATTGAATTAATTTATTTATTTATTTAGGATTCCTCTGCATGGAAGATCCCGAGTTGGATGTTCCCGGTAATGCTGGACTCAAGGATCAAGTCTTGGCCCTGCGTTGGGTCAAAGCAAATTGCTCTCGTTTTGGAGGAGATTCGGCTAACATAACTATTTTTGGGGATAGTGCGGGAAGTGCCTCGGTACACTACATGATGATCACCGAGCAGACAAGGGGATTGTTCCACAAGGCTATTTGCATGTCGGGAAATACACTCTCACCCTGGGCAGTGACCCCACAAAGAAACTGGCCCTATCGCCTGGCGGTTCAAGCTGGTTACACGGGAGAGAATAACACAAAGGATGTGTGGGAGTTTCTGAAGAATGCCAAGGGGTCTGATATCATTAAGGCCAATGGAGAACTCTGCATCGATGAGGAGAAGAAAGAGCGCATTGGATTTTCCTTTGGGCCAGTGATTGAACCCTATGTGACTAGCCACTGTGTGGTGCCCACGAAACCCATTGAAATGATGCGCACAGCCTGGAGCAACAGCATACCTTTGATCCTGGGTGGAGTCTCCAATGAGGGTCTCTTGCTGTACTCCGAGACCAAGACGAATCCCAAGTGTCTCAATGAGTTGGACGACTGTCGCTTTGTAGTACCCATCGAGCTGAACATGGACCGAGATAGTGCCCTGTGCCGGGAGTACGGTGATCAGTTGAAGCAGTGTTACTATGGCGATAAGACGCCGAGTCTAGACACACTGCACGAGTACCTTCAGGTGGGTCTTAGTTTAATCTTTTCTAAGCACAGGTGGGATGGGATTTAGGTGGTTTATATAAATAGTATATATAACATTAGTTGCTTTATAAAATACTTTAATTAACTTTTATTAACTTTCCCTTTCCCTCAGATGGTGTCACATGAGTACTTCTGGTTCCCCATTTACCGCACGGTATTATCCCGCCTGCTGTACGCCCCCGGGGCACCGACGTACCTGTACCGCTTTGACTTCGACTCGAAGCACTTCAATCACCTGCGTATCCTGAGCTGTGGCAAGAAGGTGCGTGGCACGTGTCATGGAGATGACCTGTCCTACCTGTTCTACAATTCGCTGGCGCGAAAGTTGAAGAACCACACGAGGGAATACAAGTGCATCGAGCGGTTAGTTGGTCTGTGGACACACTTTGCCGCCTGCGGGAACCCCAACTTTGATCCTGAGCAACCTGATCTCTGGCTTCCTGTGGAACCGGCGGCGGTCGAAAAACATCAGCTAAAGTGCCTTAACATATCCGATGAGCTGAAGGTGATCGATGTGCCCGATATGCGGAAGTTAATGGTCTGGGAGAGCTTCTTTAGGCGCGATGAGCTGCTTTAAGGATCAATAGAGGGGGATATCGATCTAGATTAAATCAGTAGCTTTACCTGTGCAGGGTTGGTTCGTACTTTTAAGGCCAAAATTATGGGAGGAGAGTGTAATCTATGGTTACTTTTGAGGAAAAATACATAATGGAATTGTTGGGAATATTACAAATATTTCCTGAACATTTGTTTACAGAGGAAACACTTTACAAGTGTTTTATAACTTATTCTAATAGAATGTACAAGTTTAAGGAACGTAAATCCTAAACTTCATACGAATTTAAACCAACTGCATTCGTAGAGTACAAGATTATTAAACATGGAAACCTAAAATAACAGCATTTAAAAGCTAAGGTTTCCAGAATACAAATTCTCAAATTTATTGATAGATTACCAAAAATTCTCTTTGGATTTATATAAGACGAACCACCCTGAAACTTCACGATTCTGACAGCTTTATGTTGAAGCCTCTGTTTAAAACAAGGCAAAGCCTAGCTTTGGTCCTGAAATCAAGAGAGTTTAACTGTTGTTAAGTTTGCCAATGTGAAGGAGAATCCTAGTTAAGAGTGTTAAAGTTAATCCGCCCCTCGGAACGGATCTATAGTCTAAGCAGGCTGTTTATAAGTGTAGTTATGAGTGTGAAACAAGTCGCAACTGAAGTACCTTCTATGAGAAACTACCAAAACCAACTAAACCAAACTAAACTAAAACAGACAGCCAAGGATTCTGAGCTAAGAACTTATATATTTAACGTTCCTTTATGTCTCGCTGATATCTATAACAAGCCAATACACACCACAAACATATATCAATCGTATTTTGTACGAGATCACTGTAAGTCCTCGACACAAATTTGCTTTAAGGTTCCATTCTTTTTCTTCCATTGCTTGACGAACGCACACGTTTACAAAGGGGAAGGTTTTTTTCCATTTGTGTTTCAAATGAAAAACAATTTATATATATATTTAAATGAGAAAACGAGTAAACCGTAACCAATTTATTTATATTCGTAGCCTAAGTCTTTTTAAATATTAAGCCTTTTGTATGCATAAGTTGTTTTTGGTAAAATGTTGTTTTTGAACAAAACAGAGAAACCTGTCCAAGTTTTACATCATTTATATTATACATAACAAGCGAATAAAAACTAAATAACTAAACGGAAAAACTGATAAAGACGTTTTTTGAGTGTACTCTATGAGATTAGAAGTAAGTCGGCTAGTTGAAACTAGTTTGTCTAAGAATTCTCTATGTATCCGAGTCTGTTTATTGTCAAAAAAAAAAAGCTTCAAAGTCTTGTGATGAAACTATGAAATTTGAAAATGTATAAATCCATATTTTATTAAAAACAAAAAAGAATAAAAATGAAAAGAAAACTTAAGATTACAACAGGCTTTGAATTATTTTTCAAGCATTTAATATGGTAAAATATTGGGCCGTTTTTAAGAAAGTAAGGTATTTTAGCCTCAAACCAAGTCAAGATGTTGCTCCACCGGTCTTTACCCTTGGGGATTTTGTGAATCAGTGAGTATAATTTATATAGAAATCCGCAAACTCAACATGTGGCTGCAATTCTATTATCACGTCCATAAAACTTCCTATAGCATATTGGAACATAGGCCTGCGTCACAACACTTTTTCGTCTGGTTCTCATGTGAGTTATCAGACAAATAAAATGGGCACAAATTATCGCATATGCGTTGATGCGAAAACTGAACACAAATTGCAAGATCAAATAAAGCGTGACTAATTTGTTGCTAATTTGAACCTTTATTATTTTTCCCCCCTGTTGGTTTTGTTACGCTGATTAACTTTAATAATTGTATAATATCAGATATATATGTGTATATATTATTGCGAGTGATTGTCGACATTCGTTTGATCTATTCCACATAATGCAGGGCATTGTATCATTAGCTGTGAATCAGCTGCCAAGTGCTAATAGTTAGTGCAATGTATATCGATGTACTGCCATAGTTTTACTATTTCTGATCAGTTATATTTGGGACACCGAACACAACAAGTCAAAATGAATACTGTATTAAATATATTACTATTAATCAGGTGGGTTAGCTGAATGATTAGAGAAATATGTACATCATCTTCTTCTGCATAGTTTCTATTTCTTGGCTGTAACTTTGCACCTGGTTTGGTGCGATGATGTACCCTCAGCTGAGGCAGAGATGGTTATAACCCAGAGTGAACCACGGCACTCCACCCCCGATGACTTTGATATTTGACCCCAGTTATCGATACCATAAAAAACCCTAAAATGGTTTAATAAATAAATTATCTATCAGCAGCGCAGACAAGGCTTTTCTTTATTGACACATGTCAATGGCATTATTTAGTGCCCAAAGTCAAGTTCATTGTCACATGAATGGTTAAAGTTGAGCTTTATTTCTGTAAACACTGAGAAAAAACTGGGTTTGCTTATGTAAAAAGCTTAGGGGGAAAGCTCAAGCATAGATTACATTACTCGAAAAGATATTCAATTATATTCATTCTGTTTGTTGAGTGTTACCCAGCGGGGGCTATGCACTCATTAAGCTTTGCCAAACAGTTAGAAATCGTTAATTAGCCAAGTCCAAGCTCAACTTCAAGGTAAACTGGTTGGTTCTTATGGCTTAAACATTCAAATTCAAAGCTTGAATAACTGTGATCTTAACTTTAAAGAGCTTGTGAGTGTCCAAACATTCAGCTTTATGCCTTGACTACTATAGCTTTTTGCGATTCGAGTTTGATTAGAGTAAAAAACCTGATGTTTAGAGAGTACAACCGGTATTTGAGAGAGCGGAGAGCTATAAAAAATACAATCAGCTGTTGCAGGTGAGTAACATTTCCGTTGTTCAAAGAGATCAACAAAGAGAGAGAGAGCTCCCTCTCTCATAGAAAAGATATAGTAATCGCAAGTCCCAACGATCGCGGGTCAGTTGGTGCGGCATGCTCGCTTAGAGCGGTTTATTTTCTCGACGATATTCTCAACCGATTTCCCAGCCGGTGGTATTAACTTGATTAACTGGGACTTTATTGTGACACTTTCTCCGAATCGGCGCTCGTAATCGAAGCGTGCATAGCTATAGATAGATAGTGTGTGTTGAGTGTTGTGTTTTGTGTGTTGGGAAATTCCGGACCCACGAAATGGCCACGCGATTTATGGATATAGTAAAGCTGACCTTTAAGTAAGTTTTCTCCGTTTTCCACATGCTTTGAGTGTCTCTCTCTCTTTTCTTTTTCTCTTGTGAAGCATTAAACGGTTTTCTGTGTTTTGAGGTCTTGCGTCTTGGGTTTTGCAACAACTTCTGCCTCGAAATGCATACAAATGCATATGAGTGCACTGAGAGAAATTCCACTATATTATATGAGACATAATTGGAGAATCAAATCGTTTTTGAGCCAACTTTTTATATCTTTTAAAATTGCAAGAATATTATTTACAAATAAGTGATTGAAATTACCAAAAACTAAGACATTCGGAGGAGAATTATTCAGTACATTTTCTATTTGAATGCCATGCTTGAAATAAGCAACATAATTGGAAACATTGAATTACAAAGTAGTTATTAAATTAATTACACATTTTAACATTGTGATCCAAATAGTTGTAAATGTAATGTGTCTCCAACTTAATTATATAGAATTATAAAATGATTTATATATAAGAACCTGAAAATTAAAATTTGAATATAATAACTTATATCAGGTACTGCCTCTCAATATTAATTGAACAAAAGACTTGGTTCTTGTGTTTAATTAATTAGTTATAATTATATATGATTAAAATGACTTTGCGTGTAGAGTTTATTTGTTATTATTTTTTTTCTGTGCTCTCTACACACACGCATAAACAAATGTGCCATGTGTTGGTGAAATTGTTGCGAAACTTTATTGTTTGTTTTTTTCTTTTACGAATATGTTGCTTGTTTTTTGTTGTTTTGCATAAACTTAATGATGCTGTTTCTTCTTCTTTTGCTCATTTCTGTCCGTTTTGTTTCCATCGTCTTTTGTTTTTCGTCCATGATTCAGCGATGTTTCCTCTGTTGCGGCATTCGTTAGAGTTTTTTTGTTGTTTGCTCAGATTTGTGTTTGTATTTTTTGCACGTTTTCGCAGGTTTATTAGCAGTTTTTCGGGTAGTTAGTATTTTTAACATAAATTATTGCAAAGCCACACACAATTGTGTTAATTGCGTGTATCTATATTTACTTTTTTTTTTTTATTTGTTCATATTTGCCAGCGAATTGAGCGGCTTTAAGAGTGGGTTAGGTCAGTTTGGCATGATTTTATTAAGTTATATCAACAAGTGGTTATTTTAATGAAGAAATAAATGAAGTATAAACATAGAAGGATAATAAGTGGGCACTTTGGGGTATTTGGAATATTGTTTGTCATGTCCGTCATCATAAATTGTATATACATTTAATTTAATCATATATTCCCGCTTCTCGCTAACCGCCTCAATAAATTCTGATAATTATCTTAATAAATGGATAATATCGTTACACGGTTCCTATACTATAATCATCGAAACAAGTTAATTGTGTCTTTTTTATACACGGAATTAAACTGATAAGCTCCTAGGGTACAGGGTTCATTTCACTTTCAGGTGATTTATAATTTCTGCTCGCTGATCATGACTCGACAGTTTTAGGCATTATAGTTGATCTAGTCGGGGTTTTCTATATTCGATAAATAATACATACGCATTTGAATGATCAATTCTTTGATTATTATACAAGACATTCTATTTGTGCAAATCGCTTGACTGAACAAATAAAAATGAACCCTTTTTTACAATATATTTGCATATTTTAAACTTGTTTATTAATGATGATGGGTTTTTTTAACTGTCATTACGAAAACATACATTTTAAGCTTCGTCTGAGAAGTGTTTAAAATTAAACTTTTTATTTTCCTTGCACAAATTTATATGGTGAAAGGCAAAGGTTTATACTTATGGAATAATAATAAAGTCAACGATTGTTTATTTAAGTAAATATTCAATCAATAAATATTCACTTAATATTTAATTATATATTGTATATATATATAAATATTATTAAAAGTGTGTTAAAATTGTAATCAATTTGTGGCACTTGTAGGCATTTCTTTATCTTCCTGCTTGACGATTGCCGGATTTAGGTTCTTGCTGATAAGAAACCACTTGAATGTTAGTCACTACATGAGAACAGGTGCTAAAGTTTAACTTTGCATTGTTTTTTCCCCCATTAAACAGTCTAAGCTTTGGGTTAAATATGCCAATTAGCACTGCTGCTAATTTATTACCTTCATTTGTTGCGCTTGGCTAAACCTAGCTACTGAATGCCATAATACTCAACATTAAAGGCAACACAAGCAAAGGAAAAATTTCAATAACAAAAAGCAATAAATAAATGATATTAAAGCTGGCTTTCACAGACTCTCAACCAGTCACGTATTGACCAATCTGCGGAGCCTGATCTCGCCTTTCTCTCGATTCCAATTGTAATTACCGATTTGTATGCATTCGTGTGCAATGATGTTGAATCAAACTGTGTCAGTGCATTTGCAGAATGCCAGCTAAATATCAAATTCGAATAGCGAATAAAAATAGGCCATTAAATGCATTAAACCACGCCCCACGCCCACCCACAAATTACCCATAAAAATCACCGACAATAGGTCTCAGACATATAAACAACGGGGGAGTTATATAAAAAAAAAAAAACAAAATAGAAAACTGGCCGTGCATAATAAACGCGTTTCTCGTTGAGGTTGGTCAAAAGCCGATGACAATTCGTAAGACTTTCAAAACAACAAAAGACCTCCAACGACATTGAAAGCAATTTGCCGGCAATTCCCCGTCCCTAATGCGTGACAGCCGTCGATTGGTTGAGATTCACATTGTTTTATACAAGTATTTTGAGGAGGTGCTAAATTATTAATAGCCGGCAAAAGGTCTTATGGCTTTTTTAAAAAGTTAGCTTACCACCTAAGTGTTTCCTTAATGATCTAATATGAACCTAGGAGCTTGACCCTTAACGTTTGAATATTTATACAAGAGTTTTGCATCTTAATGTCAGTTGAAAGTATATTTAATAGACAGTAAGATAAACCTTGAACCTCATTTCGTTCATTAATATAGTTGGCAACATTTTTAAAGGTTTAAAATTGATTTTAAAACACATAAATATTGCTAATAAGCTTGTTAACTCTCTTTTTTACTTTTCAGGGTCCTTAAATTTAAGTATGAGCAGCGGAAATTGGCCACAGCTATATATTCTGTGATTAAGACAAAACTAGGACCAGTTCGCGGAGAGAAAAGGAACACAATATGGGGAGGAAGTTACTACAGTTTCGAAAAGATTCCCTTCGCCAAGCCACCGCTGGGAGAGCTGCGTTTCAAAGCTCCGGAGGCAGTAGATCCTTGGGATAAAGAACTGGACTGCACCTCGGCGGCTGAGAAGCCTTTGCAGACACACATGTTCTTCAGAAAGTTTGCAGGCTCTGAGGATTGCCTCTACCTAAATGTCTATGCAAAAGATGTGAGTTTTAATCTCCCCTGAAGTCTCTCAGTAATTAAAAAGTAACTAATTCTTTCAGTTGCAACCCAACAAACTGCGTCCTGTGATGGTTTGGATCTATGGTGGTGGATTTCAAGTGGGCGAAGCTTCTCGGGACATGTATAGTCCGGATTTCTTCATGTCCAAGGATGTGGTCCTTGTCACCGTGGCCTATCGACTCGGAGCTCTGGGTTTCCTCAGCCTGGATGATCCCCAGTTGGATGTACCGGGCAATGCGGGTCTCAAGGATCAAATCATGGGCCTTCGTTGGGTGCAACAGAATATAGAGGCTTTCGGTGGAGATCCCAAGAATGTCACACTCTTTGGCGAGAGTGCAGGTGGAGCTTCAACCCACTTTCTTGCCTTAAGTCATCAGACTGAAGGACTTATCCACAAGGCAATTGTGATGTCGGGCAGTGTGTTGTGCCCTTGGACACAACCACCACGCAATAATTGGGCCTATCGTCTGGCCCAGAAACTGGGATACACGGGCGATGACAAGGACAAGCCAATCTTTGAGTTTTTAAAGTCAGTAGATGGCGGAGAAATTGTCAAGGCATCTGCCACCATACTGAGCAATGATGAGAAGCATCATCGAGTGCTCTTTGCCTTTGGACCTGTTATGGAATCATATAGAACGGAACACACAGTGATAGACAAGCCAGCCTATGAGTTAATGCAGAATCCTTGGAGCAATCGGGTGCCCATGATGTTTGGAGGCACTAGCTTTGAGGGTTTGCTTTTCTATCCAGGTGAGTTTCACTCTATTATACATCTATTATAAAACTAAGTTTATTCCCTTCTCTATCAGAGGTCTCAAGACGTCCTGCCACCCTGGACGAGGTGGGCAACTGCAAGAACCTGTTACCCAAAGACCTAAGTCCAAATTTGGATAAAAAGCTGCGGGAGAACTACGGCCTGCAGCTGAAGAAGGCCTACTTTGGTGAAGAGTCCTGCAACCAGGCTAATATGATGAAGTTCCTTGAACTTTGCTCCTACCGGGAGTTCTGGCATCCCATTTATCGGGCTGCTCTGGCCCGAGTGCGGCAATCAAGTGCCCCCACATATCTCTACCGCTTCGATCATGACTCCAAACTGTGTAACCCTATCAGGATTGTGCTCTGTGGTAACCAAATGCGTGGAGTGTGTCATGGAGACGACCTGGGTTACCTCTACCACAGCATGTTGTCCCATCAATCTGCCCCAGATTCACCAGAATACAAAGTAATCAAAGGCATGGTTGATGTATGGACGAGTTTTGCCGCCAATGGAGATCCCAATTGTGAGAGTATTAAGGATGTAAAGTTTGCTCCCCTCGAGGATGAAAACGATTTCAAGTGCCTGAATATAACTGAGCCTTTTAAGTATATCACGTTACCGGAATTGAAGAAAATCGAAACTGTGTGGAATGGCTTCTATGCCCCCAATCAGCTGTAGTTGCAATGCATCTTAGTGATTTGGCTGTCTCAATTCCATGAACTTGGGATGGATGATCTTAAATTGTGTAAATAAGCTGTACAAATGTTGTGGTTATTTTAAGTTTGAGATGATAATTGTTTAATTTAATATATTGTGTATTTAGCTTGTAACCGTGATAAAAAAAAAAAACATATGTGGTTTAAGTTCGATTTTACAAAAGGTAATAAAATTATGCTTTAATTTTTTGTATACATGAAATATATAATGGATTTATTGTTGAAGTTTTAGGAAACAAAAGAGAAGAGGTGGTATTTTTTAGAAATTTAAACTTATATAAGTTAGTCATATAAATCTTCAGACATCATTCCATTTAAAACTTTGAAGACTAACATTACAACACCTATGGTTGATATGTCAGAAGTTAATGTTTGTTTTTAAGACCATATATTACAAATAGCTCCTGCTTGGTTTAAAGTTTTAACAATAAGCTAAATTTGTCAATAGAAAAACTGCTCTTTCCGAGATCCGCTTAAAGCTTTAGTTGAATGTGGGTAAAGATAGCGTTTTCACTAAACCTGTCGCTCTTTTCGCATATATATATATATATATATTGTTTTTTTTTTCTGCGGACATATATATGGCTAACACCCGGCTAAACCATCATTCTACCAACCCCTTCGACTTCCACCTTGCCACCACCCACATATACCCCTTTTGGCTATATGCTGATGTGACATTTATGTGTGTAAGCCGTCGCTTGACAATCAAAGGGGACAACAATTTCCGCAATGCCACCGCCAGCAATGGCAGCCAGGATGACACCAGGGACCAAAAGCGCGAGCGTGTAGAAATACAACAAAAAAAGAGAAAAAATTCCATTAAAATTTTTGCAAGTTTTTAATTCTTTTTTTTTTTAGGGGGCGGAACATGGGCTTTGCTGGAACACGACCAAAATGTTTGTGTGGTAAATCGAAAAAGGGGTTCGCCGGGTGCCGTGTGCTCTCATCAGCAACGTGAAAATTTCATTTCGTCGGCGAGTTGGGCAATTTTTCGTTAAATTTTTCCTATATATAAAATTTTTTTTTCTTTTTGTGTTGCAGAATTAGACTGTGTTATGGTCATGGCTGTGGCAGGCGGTGGGGCGCCCAGGCGTGTCCAAAGAGTAGGGAAATTCTCGTAGGGGGATTTTTCAAAAGGGGGAAATCCTGTTCATGTGCACGGGGTGTAAAAATGGGCGTTAACTCAATAAATTAGAATTTTTTCCCGTTGCACAAAATTGTTAGAGAATGCGATTTCTCGCTTTACACATTCCTCTTTCTATTTCTCTGGGTCTCCACGGGGATTTTGATTAAATATTTTTTTTCAATTTGTTTTAAATAGAAAACGTGATGAAAAGTAAGGGTTTAAGTGAAAAGCCTACCAGTATTTGATTAAAGTTGCTTGGGGGGTAAGGCTTAAACTATTTAATTGTTTGCATTGCAACTTGAAGATTGTGGGGTTAGGTTTAAATAATTACATTTTTGCTTTTGCTTTAATTTTTAATTTACTTAATTTAATTTTTAAAGGCACTTTTCAAAGCTTTTAATTTTAAGGAACTTTGGTTTTACTAGGAAATGTTTTATGAGGTCTGTTAGGTCAATCATCTTTGACTTTAAAGCTTGTAAAACGTTATCCTATTTCAACAACAACAACAACAATAAATATGACCCCAAAAATTTAGAAAGACTCATTAAATTCTTTGGAAAATTTGTGATGAAATATTTATTTTTTAATATTTCTTTGTCTAATGAAATTATTTAAGTAATGTTTCGCTCCAGGTATTTTCCACTTATCTATTGGAAATGATGAACTTATGATATTTTTGATATTTTTTATGGCGTTCACTTAATAGCAACATTGATTATCAAATATAATTACTCAAAACATTTTTCTCATATTTTTTAACAGTCATAACTATTTAACTGCATTTTTTCTAAATGCAAATGAAATAAGCTGCATATTAATTGTATTTGACGTTTGCATTTTGTTCCCAGTTTATGATGAGGAATTTTTTCCTGACACCGCACAAAAGTATGCAGCTTTTGAATGTTAATATTTTGTTTTTTGTTTTGTTTATATTTATACCCTTGCAGGGTATTATAATTTCAGTCAGAAGTTTGCAACGCAGAGAAGGAGGCACCTCCGACTATATAAAGTATATATATTCTTGATCAGGATCAACAGCCGAGTCGATCTAGCCATGTCCGTCTGTCCGTCTGTCCGTCTGTCCGTCTGTCCGTCTGTCCGTCTGTCCGTCTGTCCGTCTGTCCTTCTGTCCGTCTGTCCGTCTGTCCGTCTGTCCGTTTCTACGCAAACTAGTCTCTCAGTTTTGAAGCTATCTGAATGAAACTTTGCAGTTAGTCTTCTATATACTCTCACTCGTATATATGTCGGAACGGGCCGGATCGGACGACTATATCATATAGCTGCCATAGGAATGATCGGAAAATTTTAACTTTTTCAGTTTTCAATAGAATTGGATCAAATTTGAGATATAGCCATTTTACTATACTCTACAATTTTGCATAAAATTTTATGAAAATCGGACTACTATATCATATAGCTCCCATAGGAACGATCGAGAAATTAATACAATTAAATTTATAACCTTTTCAGTTTTCAACTGATTTTCATCAAATTTTAGGTATAGGCATTTTATATTAGTCTTAAATTTTGTGTCAAATTTCATGAAAATCGGACTATTATATCATATGGGTGCCATACAAACTATCGTTTGATGTGGAGGAAAAATGCAAATCTTTGAATGTAAAACTGCAAATATAATATGTATAGGTGAATACAATGAAAGCAGGTATTACTTCATTGTTTTTTAACACAAATATATATCATTTATATTGTATGGTTTTTTATTCATAGAAGTTCTATCTGCAAGGGTATATAAACTTCGGCGTGCCGAAGTTTGCTTTCTTTCTTGTTTATATTATTATTATTTTAATATTTGCATGTGTCAATGTGGGCGTGGTTGTTTGCATAAGGCATATTCATCCGCCGTGTTGCCACTTTCCATGTGGGTTTTCTTTTTTTGTATTGCTTCTTTTTTTAATTTTTTATTTTCTTTTTTTAATGTTTATTTTGTTTTATTTTTTGTTGCTTGTTGCTTATCGCAGTCACTCGTCGGATGTCTGATCATATTTGTTTGTGGTCCGCACTGCGGTGGCCGCTTAACAAAAAGTGGTCAACATACACACAACACAACACAAGGACCACAAATATAATGGCCGATGACCATGGCAACTTTGGCGCTTATTGAAGTTCAACTTTTATCAAATTAAATTTGCCGGATTACAGGTATTTAGAGCTGAACAGTCTGTGGTCGAAGCTACTGGCAATACAAGTGGCATTAGCGGTTGTAATTGAATTTCAGCAATGTGCATTTTTTGTGTTTAAACTACGGCCTAATTGAATTTACTGCACATTTAAATAATAAAATAAGAACATAATAAGAGATGTCGGCTTTTGAAGGGATCTCTTCCAAACTCGTTTTATTATTTTATTTTTAAATCTGCCAATTCGATTGACTTTGACGGGTCGGAGGGGAAAAAAATTGTATTCCTAATTTCAAAAATTGAATAAGCCATGATGATGCAGAAATATATGGTAAATTTCAATTGGGAATTGAGTTGAAAATAAAAGAAAATAAATAACTTTCAATTGTTTGCAAATATTTATTAACTTGGCTTGTTTCCGGTTGATTGACAGATTTATTTTTCACAAAATAAAGTATAAAGCTTCGTCAAAAATGGAATTTTTGCTATATTTCAAATAAATAAATATTTTACCTTTGTTTTGCTTGAATTAAAATCATCAGCACAAGCAGAAAAGTAGCTTTCAAAGGAATCTGGCCACTTGAATGGCTAATAATTTTGCGTAAATACTTAGTAAACCAATTTAATTTAAACAATTCTAAAAATTTCTTAAGATATTCAGAGCTGTTTCGCAGACATTCCTGCCCTCGTCTGACCCCAAAGTGTAAGATTGAGACAGAATGCAGTGGCAGCTGCAACTCAATTATGTTTGCAACTTGCAAGCATAAATTATTCACTTAAGTGTCGCAAATTACGTGAAAAAGCTTTGCCACGCCGGCAAAACGTTGCGTCGGTTGCGTTTTACCTGCAAAAACACTTCAACGCACACGGACGCAACTCAATTTGAGCATAAATTTCATTTGGTCCGAGTGAAAAACAACAGCAGGAGAGCAGGAGCAGGAGAGCAGGAGAAGGATTCAGAAGCAGGTGCGGCAACCAGGACAAGATGTTGTAGGGTACCGCCACCTCATCGGCTTTAATAACAAACACAATTTAAGTGCACATAAAACGACTTGCAAGGGCAACTGAAAAGCTCTGCTTCCAGCTCCCTTCGATTTATGCACTCCAAGGATATGACCCGCATTTTATGCACTCCCAAGTAAAGTTATTGAGTAATCAGCTTTAAAATTTCTCAAGCCACCCCCCCGTCCACCCCATTTGGCCATTTGTACGCTCCATTTTTGGCCAAAGTAGCCCGCAAGCGGCAGCTGCAGGAGGCCAACCTGCATCCTGCATCCTGCCCCATAAAATGCCCCAAATGTATGCCGGGGCACGTGGCAGCTGAAAATGATTGCGCGACATGCTTGGTTTATGCATTTTGGGTGCCACAATTTATGGAGAGCTGGCAAAATGGAGGTGGATGCACCCCGGAGACTCCAAGGTGCTTAGAATCGCACTTAGACACAGGCAGCGTGACGTATCAGTGTTAATAGGTTTGCCTTGCCCCATCAGGATGGCGCTAATCAGCGGGGGAGGACGGGCATAGGGAAACCTCAAGAGGTGGGACTCAACACCTGCAGGATTTTAATAGAAAGTGAAGAAAAGAAAGGGTATGTTACATATGGAAGTACTTAAATTTTCATGAAAATAACTTCGATTTAATGTTCAAAAGAAACCCCAAAATATTCCTATTAAACATCTTTTCTGGGGCACCGATTTCTAATAGGTTTCCTAGCACTAAGACTACCATTCTTCTCCCAAAACTTGGTTAAAGCACTGATAGACCCACAAACACCCTCACTGAGAAGTTGACCCTGGTAGAAACTATTATTTATTGGCGTTGGCTGACCAACAGCTACATAAATTAGACGCAGACAATGAACAATGTTGCTTGCGCCTGTTTGCATGCCACACATTTTTTACTATCCTGTTATCTTCCGCTCCTTTTG